AGTTGAACAGGTTAAATCTGGAACAAAACTTTTCTCCAGTTTAGTGGAATCCATTAAACCTCATCTTCAGATACAGTCAGTTGGTCTTTCTTCCATAAGCAATCTTATTTCCTACAGCGGCTAACTGAATGTCTGCTAAACTTTATAATTTTCTTGAAAATAGTAAATGCCTCAAGGTATATTATCTGTATCATAGGCTTAAGGGAATTTATCTTTCCAAACTTTGAAAGATACTGATAACCAAGGTACAAACACATAATATGATAGTTGCCAGTATACCAACCCATGTGTTATTAACAAGTAAGTGTGTGTTCCTCCTACCTGCTTAGGAGTTTAAATGCACCTATGTGTTACAGAGTCAAGAAGTCTCGTCATTAGGCCAAGTTACTTTTTTACCTAAAATCTGAACTTTATCCCATTTAGTTTAAACACATGACTTTCAGAGATTAAATATGATGAAGATAGTAAGCTGGACATGGTAGCCCCTGTCTATAATTCTAACACTTGTGAGGCTGAGGCAGGAGGATCACAAGTTCAAGGTCAACCTGGGCTACAACAAAAAATAATAGCCAATATAGTACATTGTGGTTCATCCTTAGCCATATCAAAGACTTCTTAGAGTGCTGGGCACAGGTCACTCATACCTGTACACTAGATACTTGGGAGGCTGAGATAGGGATGATCAGGGCTTGAAGCTAGCCTAAGCAAATAGTTCATGAGACCCCCATCTCCAAAATAACCAAAGCAAAATGGACTGGAGGTGTGGCTCAAGCAGTACCTGCTTTGCAAGTGCAAAGCCCTGAGTTCAAACTCCAGTCCCATCAGAAACAAAATATTTCTTAGCTTTTTACTGACCAGTTATATCACACACATAGAACCTATTTGGAAGCAGAATATGGAGAAAATAGATACAGCTGTACCGCTGTTACTCAGTGGATTAGATTATTCTGAGCTTTTGAAGCTGCCTGTTCTTAGTTGTTTATTAACATCTTGGCTTCTTGATCTTTTTCCTCATTTTGAGAATACTTCCACATCTGATTTTATAAATCAAGCCATGTCAGGAGAGCAGGAACAGGGCTTGAAGAAAACCCTTGTGACCAAATAAAACAATGACAATTTCCCACCGTATGATCAAAAGAACATTAAGTCACTGGAACACAGACCTAAGTTTATAAAGATTTCCAAAGGGATTATATTTAAAACCTGGATATAGGGAAACATTGGCACAGGGAGAAACTTTTAACACTTTCCATGAAATCACCCCTTACAGAAAGGCATTTTTCACTGTCTTTTTTTGGAAGTCTAAATGCACATGAGGTCCCAGTCTGTGGCCTACAAAGGACTCTGAGATAATAAATGTCAAGGAAGCTTGATCTGGTCTACCTTAACAGGAAATTTTAGGAAGGATACTGAGAACTGGGGCTTGTTGAAGTTGGCCATCTCCCAAGAAACACTACTTTAGTGCCCTGGGAGCCAAGTGGGGGGAGTCCAGTGACATTCCTCAGCATCAGACTGGAGTGGGAAAGTTTTCTTTGCCTTTATTGAATAGAGAAGATTTTACCCTACTGACTTGACGACCTCCTGGGATTACTACCCAGTTGTAGAACACTGGGATGGCTGTAGTCTTCATATAAAACCATGTCATGTGATCACTTCAGTCTATAGTGATAAAAGTCAATTCCCAGGTAGAAGCACTTAGTTGCTAAGGAGCACACTAAACATTTCAGTCATATGTGACATTTTCCAAAGTCTTCACAGTGCAAATTCTGTGTACAGTGAGATGTAAGACTGCCTTTGTGTGCCTATCTGATAGGACATTGTATTTCTATACCTAAAGTTTGGTTGTGGAAACCTCCAGACAAAAGAGTTTTCTTGAAAATTGTAAATATCTCACACCACCACACCCAGCTCTTAGTTGAGATGGGGTATCCAACTTTTTACCCAACTTTTTGGGAGGAACCATAATCCTCCTCATCTCTGCCTCCCAAATAGCTAGGATTACAGATATAAACCACCATACCCAGCCAGAAACTTTTTAAAGATCTTTAAAATAAAAATATTTTATTGTTAGGGATGAGAAACTTAATGAAGAAGTCAAGTTTAAGCTCAGTGATAAAGAACTTGCCTAGCACATGCAAAGTCCTGGGTTCAATCCTCAGTATCAGGGGAAAAAAAGGAAGAAACTGAATGTAATAGGTCCTTAAATATTTTGAAAATTCAGAACCAAGATATACTGACCCATAATTATGAATTATAAAACAGAATTTTTTTTTTTGGTGTTTTGTAGTGTCACCATTAGCTCAGGCTTGCTTTAAACTCACTTTGTAGCCCAGTCTAGGCTTGAACTTTCCTTCCTCTTGCCTCAGCCTGCCAAGTGCTGTGATTACAAGTGTACACCACCACACCAGGCTTAAGATGATTTTCTTTTAAAAATTTTTGTCAAGTTTTGATTATCCCTTCTCACATACCAAAACTTTGCTTAAACCAATTCTATAGTTACAATATGGTGAGCTCAAAAAGTGGTAGCTATAGTTTAGCATGACCTAGCTTACAAATTTATGTTACTTTTAGACTAATAACTAGTTCTAGATGACTTTTAGGAATTATCTACCAAAGAAAAAAATATTCTAAAACTAAAATGCAAGAAAATTACGTCTCCATATAGCATCCTTGTTTGAGTAGATACAGTGTGTAGTACTTTGAAATTGTGATAACTATCACTACCATAAAATATTCTCGATATGGAAGACAATACAAGTAAAGAATTGGATTGTAAATTGTGTTTATTAATTGTATGGTCATAATTGAGTACATATGAAACCAAATATATTAAAGACTGTACCTTAATTAACATAAAGCAATGCTACAATTTGGGGAGCTGTAGTTCTCCAGATAACTCAGCTTACTATGTTCCTATTTTTACATTAAAATCTGCAAACAGGAAAACATTTTACTTCTGCCCTCCAAGTCTAACTGGACAAAATCAAAAACAACTAACCAGAGAACCTAAAAGATTAAAAATGATGTTTTCTCAGTGATATGCTCACCCAGCAGTGCTTATTTCTAACTGGAGTGCTGTGCATGTTGAGTGGGTACAACACTGGCAACCATGGATCATGTTTGGGCCAGCGATGCTAACACTGCTGACGGTTCTGCTCGTGGAAGAGGGCCGTGCTTTCTGTTGCATGCATATACTGACCCTGTACTTTCTTTCCTTTCCTTTGTTTCCTGTGCCATGCTTGCTGTGTAGCAAATGGAATCTCTTGCAGTAAGTTAACTTTCTTTCATACTCTTTGTCCATTTAGGCATGGACCCATCACAACCCTTGTTTTTACTGTTACTTATATATCTTCTAGCATGTTTTCCCTTTTTCACTTAATTTTATTTTCTTTGGTAGATTGAAATATGGCAGCTTATCAGTAGCATTTAGGGATGCTTTTGCAACAAAGTTCAAACCTACGTTGCTATGAATTCTCATATTACCTGTGGAATATTTTAAATAATAACTACCATTATTTGGTACTTAGAAAAGTCAGAGTATTCATAGCTAGGTTTTGCCCTAAATTGGGAAGATAACATTGTTTTTGACCCTGACTATTCATACCAGATTTTAAAAAGTTTCTATAAAATAAAAGTTTACATGACCATAAAATCAAATGTTTTACTAAAACAACCAAAGACCCAGCTGGGGTTCATTAGCAAGTCTAGCTACTTTCCCTTACTTCAGCTAGTAACCAGAATTAAATAAATCTAAACAGAATTGGTTTTCCTCTAGGAGCAGGGAAGGGATGGGAGCAGAAAGGAAACTTCATTCAGATAGTCATAGCTTGAATTTTATTAACTTAAAAATGAGAATCAAAAGTCCATTCATAGTATCTGTGGAATATACTACCTAAAACCTAAACTTAAGTACTTATAATTTCTCTCCTTAAACTGATTTGGGGAAGAAAATGGAAACTACCTCAAAGCTCTCAATTCTGAGCTGAGCTCTTCACAACCCATTACTAAAGAGAAATGCCCTGTTTTAAATATCCTTCTCCAACCCCACTTGAAAACTGACCAGAGAAGCATTTAGTTTAAGTCACATATTTAACCCACTTTCACTAATGACTGCTGAGCCATGAAACCCTATCTATTGAAGGCTATTTCTTTCCTTTTCAGAAATCCTACCCATTTTCAAAGACCTAACTCATTCTTGAGATAAAATTAGGCAAAGTGTAGATGATATGCTTCAAGCAGTAGTGTGATCCTTGGTGTCAGAATTACCTGTGATTTTTTTCATCACAATGTACATAATCTACAAGGAAAACATTTTAAATCCCAGAGATATCTACAGAGCTCAAGGGCCATTTTGTATGACTGCTTCTTGATGGTATTTGTGCAAAAAGTTCTATGTTTTCATAATTTCTTTCATAAGCATTTTTTACCCTTTTCATATCTCTTTAATTCAAAAAATGTTTATTGAGCACTGAATAAAACTGTGTAACTCGTGTTTCCACAGATTTTAAGATGAGTGTCTGTACCCTCCATGGTAGCCAGAACTGTCATGCAGCAGTCTCTCCCATCCACTCAATTTACAAATTTAACTCCTAGAACTACTTAATGTTTTGCATTACAACTATACTTTTAGTAAAAAAAAATTCTTTGTTTTCAAAGAAATTTATAGCTTCTAAAAATTAACACAACCATTCAGCTATAACTTATAGGTATTTAATTGACAAATATAGTGGAAATTGTATTTGACGGTTCACTCAATGCTTTTTATAGCTACTACTACTCTTCTCTAGTGGTCTTCTGTTATCCAGAATATAACATTCTGTAGTATACTGAACTTCTCACTGATTTATTGACTGGATTTTGTTTTTCTGTTTTACTTGGAATAATAACAGCTCGTTGTGTTTTCTTAATTTAAAAAGAATGTGTTTGTTTCTGCTGAGATTTCCCTTGTTACACAAGGATGACCCTAAGTAACTATTTCTTCCCATGCATTCTCTCCTTAGCAACTGGAACTGTGTCAGAGGTTATATAAGCTACACTTCCAGCTGCTTTTGCTTTTTCAATCCTACTGTAAGCTCATCGGCCAGGTGCATGAAGTGAGCTCCATGCCAGAGGTGAGTGCTAGTGCCTTTTCCCAGTCCTGTATCTTGCCACAAAAATCATCAGTTTGTATTTGTTCTCCATCTCCCACCCCTTTTATAACTGAGCAAGTGATTTCATTCCACATAATTACTTTGCTCAAGCACAAGTCGGAAATAAATGGCTTGGATATTATTTTTGGTTCTCCTTTTATAAAAGCTTTTCTAGAAGAGGACCAGGGCTAAGGTGAGAAAAGTGAGGTGCCCCAAATTTAGGGACAAGTGATTTTCTACATGTTACACCATAGGTGCCCACTTGAGTCACCCTGATCTTGAGATAAGGAGAAATGTCTACATGATATGTATGGCTGTCTTCAGTTTCCCTGCCCTGTTTAGTTCGCATCAGGATGCTTTAATTGTAAAATGAAAACGATTTGAACATACTACTTCCTTTTTTTTTTTTTTTTTTTGGCAGTACTGGGGTTTGACCTCAGGGCCTACATCTTGAGCCCTTTTTTGTAATGGGTTTTTTCAAGATAGGATCTCACAAATTATTTGTCCAGGCTGACTTTAAACCTCAATCCTCCTAATCTCAGCCTCCTGAGTAGCTAGGATTACAGGCGTGACCAACAGGGGGCCTGGCTGAACATACTATTTCCACGTAGGCCAAAATTTTCCTAGAAGTGAAAATGAAATAACAGTGGTGTGCACTGGGTATTGTGGAAGCACAGAGGACAAAATAATTTGTGAAAGGGTGAAATTGGAATGCTTTCTGGAGGAAGTCACACCTGAGTAGAATCTTACAAGATGAGGTAGAATTGTGAAGTTGAAGTTCAATAAGAACAAAAGCATTCACGTAAACATGGTGGTGAGAGAGAGAAGCTACAGCCGTTTGTAGCATTAGAATAGGAAATGCTAACCAAAAAGTAGCCATGAAATAAGGCAGAAGACAGAGGTAAAAGGAAGATGCTGCACCTGGAAGTATTTTGGTAAGATCGTTATGACTTGGAAGGTGAATGTGAGCACAATTAGACTGGTGGTATGGAGGCCAGTTATGAGCCTGCTGAAATAGTCCAGACAGTCTAGACTAGGATAGAAGTGCTAGGCAAGGAGAAGAGGAAGGAAATGTAAGAGATATTGAAGACAAAAATCAATGCAGGGCTTGCGGAATTGCTCAAGTCGTAGAGCGCCTGCCTAGTAACTGTGAGGCCCTGAGTTCAAACCCCAATACTGCCCAAAAAAAGGTCAATGAAACTAATGGGGGGTGGAGGGGAGAGGGCAGAGTTGAGCACAGTACCCTTGTTCTATCGCAAATGAACCAGGTAAGCAGTGCTGCTGCAGCGGACACAGAGGTACATGAAGGATTGAGGAAGTTGTACATCCAGGCAGCCAAACCTATCTCTGCCTACTGACCAAGATTTGGTTCAGCAATGACTGCCACTTTCTAAGTGGTTAGATATGAGGATGGGAGGGCAGGACCGAGACCTAGATTAAAGGTGCAAGTGTGGTCATCACCATGACAGAAGACGATGTCATCATCCCTCTAAGAGGAGCAGATTGGATAAAGGGAAACCTCACTCTAACGAGGGGACAGAGGAGAAGGACCATGGGAGACCAAGAATGACAACCACTTCATCATATTCATCACTCAATTTGAAAAAGGGGGAAAAACTGTGCAGCTTTCAAGTATACTTTTAATGCCTATTTATAGGGAGGTATCACTGTCATAACTGCTTATGAGTCCTTCACAAACCAGTGTTGCTCCACTGCATTACAAGTTATCAGATAACAGAGAGAACAGTTGATAGATATTGTTTGTCACATGGCTATGATAAAGTTTACTCTTTTTACTCTAAGCAAGTATTAACAGGATCTATCTTTGCTCAAGAAATAAAGGCCATGCAAACGCAACTTGTAGCATTTCCCATATTAAAAAAGCAGTTGGGCAGTGCCTCACCCCTATAATCCTAACTACTTGGGAGGCTGAAATTAGGAGGATTGTGGTTTGAGGCCAGTATGGGCAAATAATGAAACCCCTCCATCTCCAAAATAACTAGAACAAAGTAGATTCAAGAGATAGAGCACCTACTTTGCAAGCAAGAAGCCTGAGCTTAAACCCAGTCTCAAAAAAAAAAAAAAGAAAGAAAGAAAAAAAGGAGTAGGTTGGCCAGAGGCTCAAGTGATAGAGCACCTGCCTAGCAAGCACAAGGCCCTGAGTTCAAACCCCAGTACTGCAAAATAAATAATAATTTAAATTTATAAAGCACATGACTCCATTATTGAAATGGTAGTATGTAAATCTTTCAAACCCTAGTTTGAAAGTTAAAGGTCAGAAAGGCCAAAAATAACTATATTGACAATAAGTTGTTAAGCAACAAACAATATAAATAGATTAAACTCTCTAATCAAAACACAAAGAGTGGCATAATGGATTAAAACCAAGATCTAGGGCTGAAAGCCTGACTCAAGTTGTAAAATGCTTGACTAGCAAGTGCAAAGCTCTGAGTTCAAACTCTAGAACTACCAAAACAACAACCACAAAAAAAAAAAAAAGATCCAATTATATGTTGCCTGTAAGAGACCCACTTTAGCTTTAAGGACACACATGGGTTGAAAGTGAAGGATAGAAGAAGGTATTCCAGCCAGGTGCCAGTGGCTCCCGCCTATAATCCTAGCTGCTCAGGAGTCAGAGAACAGAAGGATTGCAGTTCAAAGCCAGCCTGGGCAAATAGTTCATGAGACCCTACCTCAAAAAAATCCATCACAAAAAAGGGCTGCTGGAGTTCAAAGCCCAGTACCACAAAAAAAAAAAAAAAAAAGTATTCCAGGACTGGAAGTGGGACACAAGCAGTTGGGTACCTGCCAAGCAAGTGGAAGCCCTGAGTTCAAACACCAGCACTGCAAGCAAAAGACAGAGAGAGAGAAAGAGAAAGGGAAGGAAAGAGGAAGGAAAAAAGAGGAAAGGAAAAAAAGAAAAGAAAGAAGGTATTCCATGCAAATAGTAGCCAAGAGTGGGGATGGCTATACTTTTACCAGGTAAAATAGACTTCAAATTAAAAACTCTGTTAAGAGACAAAGACAGTCATTATTTAATGACAAGTGGTTAATTCTTCAAAAGGACATAAAAATTGTAAATATAGATGCACCCAGCATCAGAGCACAAAGCAAATATTAACAGACATGAGGAAATAATAGGTAACTACAGTAATAGCAGAGGACTTCCATGCTTCACTGTAGACCCTGTCTTGAAAATACCCAACATGGAAAAGGGCTGGTAGGGTTGCCCAGTACCACCAAAATAAGTAAATCAATCAATAAGAGGACAAAAAAAATTTTTAAATCAATAAAACTAAAAGTTGGTTCTTTGAAAAAGTAAACAAAAAAATTGAGCCTTGGGTAAACTAAGAAAAAGAAAAAATCAGAACTGAAAGTAGAAATGTTGTTATTGATGCCTCAGAAATAAAAAGAATCATAAGGACTACTATGAACAGTTATATGTTAACAAACTGGGTAACCTAGGAGAAACAGATAAATCCCCAGAAAAATATAATCTACCAGGATTGACTCAGGAAGAAACAGAGAGCTTGAGGACTGCAGCAAGGCTCAAGTGGTAGAGAGCCTACCCAGCAACCCCAGGTCCTGAGTTTGAACCCCAGTACCACCAAAAATAATAATAAGAGAATTTGAACAAGCCAATAACAAATAAAGAGACTGAAGAACTCAAACTCTTACAATAAAGAAAACCCGAGGACCAGGTGGCATCATGGCTGAATTCTACCAAGTTTCAAAGAAAATTTACCAGTTCTAAAACTTGTCTAAAAAATAGAGCTAGGGAGAATACTAACAAACATATTTTCTTTTTTTTTTTTTTTTTTTTTTTACAAACATATTTTCTGAAGCCAGTATCACATTGATACCTAAACCAGACAAAGACACTGCAAGTAAAGAAAACTACAGGCCAGTAGCTCTGATAATGCTGATGCGAAAATCCTCATTAAAATATTAGCAACCCACGTGGAGATGTGGCCAAAGTGGCAAAGTGCCTGCCTAGCAAGTGCAAAGTCCTGAGTTCAAATCCCAGTACTTCAAAAGAAAAAAAATAATCAGTTGAATATTCACTTTGGGCTGGAGGTGTGGCTTAAGCAATAAAGTGCCTGCCTAGCAAGCTCAAGTCCCAGAGTTCAAACCCAGTACCACCAAACAACAACAAAAAAATCAAAATATTAGCAACCCAATTCAGCAACACATCAAAAAGATTATACATCATGCTGGGCGTTGGTGGCTCACACCTGTAATACTAATTACTTGGGAGGCTCAGATTGGAAGGATCGAGGTTCGAGGCCAGCCCGGGCAAATAATTGGCAAGACCCCATCTCCAAAATAACTAGAGCAAATGGACTGGAGGTGTGGCTCAAGCCCTGAGTTCAAACTCCAGACTACCAAAAAAAAAAAAGAAAAGATGGGAACATCCCATCTGGGGATCACAAATTTGCAACTGAATGCAGTGGGTTTCCATCTTGGTGAGGCAAAGCCAGAGCAAACACAGTCAAGAAATCAGAGCAGAGAAAAATTTATTACCTGCAGCAGGTGAGGAGAGCACAAGAGTTCTGCCCTCCCGTAAAGCTTCTACTTAAAAAGCAACTGGAGTTTCACTTTGGTAAATTATGTGTTACATACATGTGTTTATATATGGGTATGTGTAAGTATTATATATACATGTAATTATTTTAAATCTAGTGAATTTCTATTTTAAGTGTAGGTAAGTTTTAAATTTTTTTTTCTTTGATGAGATGGCCAGTCCTGGGGTTTGAACTCAGGGCCTTGCCCTTGCTAGGCAGGTGTTCTACCACTTGAGCCACTCCCACCCCCAGCCCTTAAGTATTATAAACTTAATACTTAACCTGAACTTAAAAATCATTAGGAAGAAATTCACCTTCACACTTGAAATTATACAGAATATCAAGATATTCTAATACCTTATTTGAAAAGATTATCCCAGTAAATTTTACAACTCATTCTGGAGTAGGTATTTATATGAAGGAAACAGTCCTTCAGGGCTTCAGTTTTCTAATTTTACATGAGTTGGGAATGAAGAGGAAAGGTAAAGGTGTTGGAAAAATAACTTTCCAAAGAAAATGGGCACTGTCCCTTTACATCACAAAGGAAAAGTCTTTAAATTTCATGTTTTAGTTTGGGGGTTTATTAGTTTGTTGGTGGTACTGGGGTTTGAATTCAGGACCTCACTTGCTAGACAGGCACTCTGCCACTTGAGCCATGTGCCTGGCCCGTTTTTGCTTTAGTTGTTTTTGAGGTAGGTCTCAAGCTTTTACCCAGAGCCGGCAATATTTCCTTGCAATACTGGGGTTTGAACTCACAGTCACTCACAGCCTTCACTTTGAGCCACTCCACCAGTCCTTTTTCTTCCCCTCCCCCCACCATAAACTTTTTGGTCTAGCCTGAAACCATATCTTCCCATCTCCATATCCCAAGTCACTGGGATTACAGACATAACACACCCACCATGTCCATTTTATGTCAATTTTTTTAATGCTATGAGATCAAAATGTAAACAATTGTTTTACCTAGTATTTGTTTTTAAGCAGCACTGGGGTTTGAACTCAGGGCCTCACACTTACTAGGCAAGCACTCTGACTGCTTAAGCTACTTTGCCAGCCCATTTGTGGAAGGTTTTTTCAAGATAGGGTGTGGTGAAGTATTTGCCCAGGACTGACTTCAATTTGTGATCCTCCTGATCTCTGCCTCCTGAATAGCTAGGATTATAAGCATGAGCCACCATGCTTATCTTACCTGATATATTCTGAGGGCATTTAAGAGTGACGTTAAGTTCTCTCTTATAATTTATTTTAACACGCTAGATATTTTGTTTCCAGGAATTGTTTTGAGACCAGGTCTTACTATGTTGTCTGACTAACTTTGAGCTCCTGAGCTCAAGTGATCCTCCTGCCTCAGTCTCTCAAGTAGCTGGAAATACAGGTTCATGCCACCGTACCTGGTTTGTTTCCAATACTTGAGGGAAAATATCATTTACCTCTGTAGTGTACTAAGATTACTTTGAGATTATCCCTCTTTCTCCTCCTTAAAACTATGTTCCATTTCCTCATGGCCTACAACCATGAGGAAAATTTGTTAGAAAAATGGGATCCATGTTAACAGTTACATTTATTGAGCACTGACATGCCAAACCGTACTAAATATTTTATATATATATATATATAAAATTTCACTTAAAAGCAACCCTGTAAGGTAGGTAGTATCTTCAGTCTCACAAGTGAGAAAATTTAAGCACAAAAAAAAGTGTATTTATTTGACTACATTCACACAGTATATGTATTAATCAGCTCTTAATTGCCATAATAAAATACCAGAAGCCAGCAACTTTATAAAGAGAAAAGTTTATTTAGCTCAGCTTTAGAGGCTGCAAGTCCAAACAGCATGGCTGCATCACATCAAGGTGGGAAACCTTGTGTATCTCTATGTTCTCTCTCCTTGTAAAGCCACAGGAGTCAGTGTGGATATTACAGCCTAATCTAATCACTCCCCAAAGGCCCCATCTAGATCCCATGAGCTGATTAAGTTTCTACCTTCTTAATGCCATCAACATTAGGTTTGGGGGATTAAACTCCCCCAAACCATATTCAAATCATACCACTCCACTCCTGAACATGTCCTTCTCACAACATAAAGTCATTCCACCCAAATAGTTCCAACATCTTAATTCATCCCCATCCTAAGCCCCAACAGAGACTCAAGGCAAACTTCTTGCAGTTATGAGCCCGTAAAACTAAAACGAGTTGCATACTTTCACGATAACTATGGTGGAACTAGCAGAGGATCAACATTCCTCTTCCAAAAGGGAGGAACAGGCAAGTAGAAAGCAGTCGTCAGCCCAACGCAAGACCAAAACCCAGCAAGGCTAACATTAAACCCTAAAGCCCCAAGTCTGGCATCTTTCCACACTGGGATAGGGATTGAAACCCCCTCCCCACCCCCAGCCTTGGGCAGCCTCCTCCTACCAGGCTTTCCTGAACTCAGTCCCTGCTCCAGTTCTCACAGGCTGGAGTCTCCTCTCCGAAGCTCTCCCAGGCCACCCTTCATGCTGGCAGCTCTGCAGTTCTGGCAGCTCTGTGGCAGTCCTGCCCCCAAGGCTCCACAAGGCATTGCCTTGGTGGGGACTCTCTGATGCAACTCCAGTCCCACACTTCTGATCAGCATTGCCCCTTTCTGCAGTGACTCCACCCCTGCCACAGGTCTCAGCCGGTGCCCCCCAGTTGTTGGATTCATCCTTTGTAATCTAGGTGGAGATCTCCACCTAGAGATCTCCTTTATGGCTCGGTTGCTTTTCACACACGTGGCCATGCTCACAGACTGCAAGCTGATGTTTGCCTCCTTCCGAGGCTTATGTGACACTCTGCTTGCTGCTTTCCATGGAGGGTGTTTTGTGGCACTGGCACCTCTACTTTTCTGGGGTCCCCATTGTGGCTTCACTCCCACAGCTCCAGTAGACATCACCACAACAGGCACTTTCTCCAGGGACTCTGACCCCAAGACCTGAAAGGCTTTCCGCCATGACCTTGGAACTCTTGCATTCTGCATGTCGGCAAGACCAGCACCAGTTGAACAATGCCAAGGTCTGCCACTTGCACTGGCTGCATCCGGGCCCTTTAGAACCATGGCAGCAGCTGAGGAATGCTTTGTTGGCAAACCAGTGTCCCCAGCTGGCCCCAGGACTCTTTTCTGAATCATTTCTGCCCTGGAAGTTTTCTGAGGTGCCCTCAAGGCAATTTTCTTACTGTCCTGATGCAGTGTACTTTGCTTTAGCTTCCTTTTATCTGCTCTAATCTCTTTTACCAACAGCTGCTGGACCAAACCCTCCTCAGTCACGCCCTTAAATGACTTTTTGCTCCTTCCCTTGCCAGGCCACAAATTTTCCAAACCTTTCCTCTGTGATTCCCTCTGAATTGTAAGTTCTATCTTCAAATCATTCCTTTGCTCTCTCATTTGACTGTAAGCAGTTAAAAGTAACCATGCAGCATCCTGAATGCTTTCCTGCTTTGAAATCTCCTCTGACAAATAAATTAGTCCATCACTTTGAAGTTCAGCCTTCCACAAACTCTCAGGACAAGGGCACAAGGAAGCCAAACTCTTGGCCACAGCGTGACAAGGATGGCCTTTATTCCAATTCCCGAGAAAATTCTCATTGCTGTCTGAAATCTCATCAACATCATAGACTTTACTGTCTACATTTGTATCTGTGTTTGCATCCACATTTACATCAGCATTCTGCTCTTCTGAGCCCTCAGCAGAATCTCCTGCAATGCCCTGCTTACAACATTCCAGGCTTTCTCTAGCCTGCTCCTCCAAACTCTTCCATCTTTTTCCCATCAACCAGTTCCAGAGGTTTCTCCACATCTTCCCAACCCCAATTTTCTTTGCAAAGAGAAAAGATCTTTTTAGCTCACAGTTTTAGAGGCTGAGAATCCAAACAGCATGGCACAGGTCCTGGCTGGCTTGTGTGTATCTGTGTATATGCAGTCTCTTTCCCATTCCTTATAAAGCCACAGGGATTCAATCTGGAGATCCCACCCTAACGACCTGATCCAGTCACTTCCCAAAGGCCCCACCTCTAGACACCATAATCTGATTAAGTTCTCAGTCTCTAATGTCATTAATGTAAAACTTTGGGGATTAATCTTGTTGCATGAGTTCAGGGAGACAAATTATATTCAAACCATAGAAGTATACAGTTGTTCCCTCTTATCTGCGTTTGGCTTCCCACAATTTCCATTATTTATGGTCAGCTGCTGCCTGAAAATATTAAATGGAAATTTCCAGGAGTAATTCATAATTTTAAAATAAATTTTGTCTTGGTGTATTGTTTTAATTGTTCTTTTTTATTATTAATCTTACTGTGCATAATTCATACATTAAGCTTTGTCACAGATATATACATATAAGAACATAGTGGGCTGGGGGTGTGGCTCAAGTGTTACAGCACCTGCTAGCAAGCCCGAGGCCTTGAGTTCAAATCCCAGTACCAAAGAAAGAAAGAAAGAGAAAGGAAGAAAGAAAGGAAAAGCATAGCAGGTACAATCCAAGGTTTCAGAGGGTCTGGACTCACACAGATAAGGGGAATTACTGTACTGCAGAACTGTCATTTGAACTCAGATCCACCTTACTCTTGAGCCTGTTATCTTGTGCATCCTATCTCTGCATTTATGCCCTTTCTAGTCAAACAGAAAACATTTCAAATTAAGTCTTAATCTTTTATATAAGGTAAGCACCCAGGCTGTGGATATGTAAAGTTACTACTTATAAAACCCCAGTCCTTTACACCTACCATACAGTGTCATCTGTCTTAATTTGCCAAGATATTAAGCTTATGTTTTCCAGCCCACATGATCAAGTTTCTTTCCTTGTGGAATGTAACACCCAGCCTGTTCCTAAATTTGCTTTTAAACAGCTGCTGAACATGTCCCGGGAGCTGAGTGACCTGAAGAGGAATCTGAAGGAGGCCACTGCTGCCATTGCCGCAGACCCACTCTACATAGATGGAGCCTGGGCCGAGCCAACCTTCACATCCACAGAAGCTGCCATCCAGTCCATGCTGGAGTGCCTGAAGAACAACGAACTTGGCAAAGCTTTGCGACAGATCCGAGAATGCAGGTGACTCTACCATTTCTTTTAGAGATGAGTATGGGAAGCACACTAATCCTGACTTTATTGTGATTAGAGGCGAACCAATCCTTTGCATGCTGCTTCTCAGTCTTAACTTGCAATGCCAGAAACACTTGCTTTCAGGCCTTACATGTGACAAATGTTGGTGTTGCTTCTGAATGTGGAAGCACTTCAAAATATGCCACTATGCAATTTAAAATTAATCTAAATATACATTTGGGGTGTCTTTTTCTCCCTACATTTATGTATCGTCTACCATTCATTGGAATCAGAATGCTATAACAAATGAGGATGTTTTAAGATTCCATTCTGATATTTTTATTCTTTTGATATTTTTATCAATAATATCCAATATTCTAAAAGTAATTATAATATTTACACAACTCTGAAGATACTAAAACCCAAGGAATCATGCAGTTTAGATGTGTACATCATATGGTATGAGACTATCTCAGTAAAGCTTTTAAGTAATAGTCTTCTACAAATGAAGACTCAGAACCTCCCCTCTGTGTGACCAGTAGTGCCTCTAATCTGTGCTATTCTTTCTTGACTGCAGAAGTTTGTGGCCCAATGACATCTTTGGAAGCAGTTCTGATGATGAGGTCCAGACACTACTGAACATTTACTTCCGTCACCAAACTCTGGGACAGACGGGTACTTACGCACTGGTGGGGTCTAACCAGAGCCTCACCGAAATCTGTACCAAGCTGATGGAGCTGAACATGGAGATCCGAGACATGCTTCGCAGGGCCCAGAGTTACCGAGTCCTCACCGCTTTTCTCCCAGACTCCAGCGTTTCTGGCACTAGTCTCTGACAGGAGCCTCCCGTCCCCCATGGTTTCCAAGCTGGCGGTGCTGCCATGCTGGGGCGACGTCATTCAGTGTCTTCTCAGCCTTCGAAAGGCTTGGACAGACTGTTTTCCCTCTTGTTACCTGTAGGACTTTTTCTAAAAAGGATGGCAGAACTTCCAACCTGTAGCAATACTCTAAGAACTAAGGTAGCATAGAACGTCCTGCAACAGACTCCACCCACCATGCTGTGTGGCACAAACGTGTTTTCCTTTTGCTGAGCAAATGCAACTCGCTACTGAAGAAGTGACTTCCATTGCATACCAAAGCCAGAGGACACCGAACAATACCTTCCTCTCTAGAAATAGTTTTAGATTGGCAAAAGTGCAATGTTTTCTTCACTAAAAATTTTTATATTCTAAAACTTGTACATTCATTCCCTTTCTCCTTTGTTTTTCTTTGTTCCTTTTTTCTTTTTTCCTCTATTTTTTTTTTTTTGGTGGGCTGAGAAAGGGACAGGCAGAATGAAGCTGGCCACAGAAAAATTGTAAGATGGTCAAAGCTGACAGCCTGCACATTTGAAAAGGGAACTGTAAATGGACTATAATTTTAATGTACACTGTTATTTGAATATAATTACTGTATCTACAATGAGCTGCTATGAATACCTTTCTTATGTTGCTAGGCTACTGTTTCTGAAAGCCCTGGATCTCTTTGCACCAAAAATGATCCAGACAGACTCTTTTTAAGAATCTTGGCTGCTTTTTACTAGAAGGTTGCTTTTATGAGCATATTTATACTACAGAAGGAGAGTGTTAATTGTAATTAACTTTGCCATTTTGTAGAGACAAATTATTCACATTATAAATTCCAAGTCTTTTCACCTGTCATGCATGCATATTTTAATATCCACTTGGATAGCCAGAAGTAGAATCATAAAGGTAAATTATGAGTTGTCACTTTCTTGATAATAATGTCATGTTTTATTTGTAATATATATGTAAAGGGCCATTCTTAAGTTTCCTCCTTAAATTTAATGCTGTCAAGTGTTAGATGTGTGCATGTGAAATCTGTTGCACATCAGAAACATATTCAAAGTTTATCTATGTAACTTATTCACTCTGTAAATACATTTAAAGTTTTTGTGATGTAATCTTGATTGATACTCTGTTCAGAACTTTCTTTAGACTAAAAAACAGAAAGACAAAACACAAGGTGACCATGGACTTTCTTTCTAGTTAATGGAAATATTTGCCTTTGACACACATTTATAGTTATACATGTGGGATGCCACAGTGACAATCCCAACGGGTATGGGTACCAGTCACATGCGTTCTGTGAATGACACCCCCTGGGGTTGTGGAGTGCGTGGTCCTCGAAGTCAGAGGTAAGTATAATCTCACAGGAAGTTGACACCAAAAAAAGGTGACCTTCAACCAGTTCTCTCTGTAATCATCCAGAGAGAAAAATCAGGAAAGAATGAGGACTCTAATTGTGCATAACCTGACATTAGGTTGTCATCCTTATAATTTTGAAATAGACTCTGGGATGACCAGGCGAAAATAGTAAAACTTTTCATTTTGTCACCAGCACCTACCTATTCTCCACCCCACCAAAAAAGCTGAGACCCAGAGATACATAGTAATCTAATTTATACTGTCTTCCTACTTATATTTTACTTGGACTACCAAGTATAACTTGCTTTCCTAACACACAACTACTGAATCGTTAGTAACCATTTTCTATAAGTATCCTGCAAGAGGGACTCTCATCCAAGATTGTTTTATTGTTCCCATAGATAAAGCTACTGATCCATCTTAAGGACTTCCTAGATTGCTTTAAAGATACTTTTGTGTGTGTGTGACTGGTGGTACTGGGGATTGACTTCAGGACCTCGTGTTTGCACTCTACCACTTGAGCTATGTCAGCCCAAGATATTTTCTTAATAAGCTCTTTTTCCTTTTTTAATTAATTGCACAAAATAGGCTTCATTATGACATTTTCATGCAAGTATACACCGTACTTCAATCTTATTCATCCCCACATTACCCTCTATTGTCCTTCTCCCTCATCCTTCTCTCCCACTTCCCCAAAAGACCCCCTTCTACTTTCATGTCTTTTTTTTTTCTCTCTTTTCATGTCTTTTTTTTTTTTTTCTCTTTTTTGCAGTCCTGGGGATCAACCCAGGGCAGAACCCAGGCTAGGCAAGTGTGCTACTGCTGAACCACATCCCCAAACCCCCTCCTTTTTTAAATCTAGATTCTATATATGAGAGAAAATGTGTAATACTTGTCTTTCTGAGTCCATCCATTTTCCTGTAATGACATAATTTCATTCTTTATGGCTGAATAATACTCCATTGTGTGTGTGTGTGTGTGTGTATATATAACATTTTCATTATCCATTCATCTATTGATAGGCTCCTAGACTGATTCCATAACTTGACTGTTGTGAATGTTGCCACAATAAACATGGGTTTGCAGTTACCAGTATTGTTTGCTGACTGATTCCTTTGGTTATATGCCCAGAAGTGGTATACAGGATCATATAGTAGTTCTATTTTTAGTTTTTGGAAGAGCCTCCATACCAATTTCCATACTAACTGGACTAATTTATATTCCCATCAACAGTTGCAACAGTTGTATGGGGTTCCTTTTCCCATCACCTGCATGGGACATAAGCTGATTAAAATTATAGCCTCCAAATGTGCTCTTGAAAAACCACCATGAATTTTAGAAGCACATGAATGTCTTACTTCCACCCATAGGTGAGAACATTAACATGTGTTAAAGCAGCTGTGAAATAAAGATGCTTTTAACTGTTACATGCACACAAGTCTTACCAAACATTGATCTTTTCAGCAAAGTGTAAAATTCTAGAAAAAAGGGTACCTCACAGATGCTTACATCAATAGCCTACACCTGCTCCCAGATACTGCCTAAAAAGTGTCCCCAGGTGAATTTTATGATGTGTTAATTATATCCCAAAAGAGATATAATTTAAGTCTTCAATGCAGCTACTTTTGGCTCAGTTAATATCTGAATACATATCATGAACTAAGACATTTTTTTCATTAAGCGAATATTCATTGCATGCTTACTCTGGGCTGTGGTCCCTCTTTTCATGGAGTTTATACCCTAGCAGAGGAAGATATAAATGACAATCTATGTCAAGTAAAAAGTTCCATGAAAAACAGCAACCCAGGGTCAGGAAGTAGCCAGAGAGCATGCAGTTTTAGGAGAGGTACCAGAGAAAGTCTGTCTACGAATGCGCTATGTGAAAATGGCTATCTTGGGGAGAGAACCTCCCCATGGGGAGAAACAAGTACAAAGATTCTGAAGCAGGAGCAGAAGGAACACTTTGCTGAAGGGACAGCAAGAAAGCCAGCAGTCATAGGGATTGGGGATTTAGCTCAGTGGAAGAGCACTTGCCTGGCAAGTGCAAGGCCCTGAGTTCGGTCCCCAGCACCGAAAAAAAAAGAAAGTCAGCGGTCAGAGTGAAATGAGGAAGAGAAGAGTGTCAGACAACCGAAAGGCTCAATGAGACCCAAGTTGAACAGGGTCCCTTACTAGATGAGGATGGGAAGCCACTGGAAGTTTCAGCAAAGAGCAGTGACATGTTTTAGCCTATTTTATTTATTTTGGGGGAGAAGGTACTGGGGTTTTGAACTTAGGCCTCCGTGTACTTCTTTATTTCCTTTTTTATTCTTATGTACTTTTGAGGCAGGTTCTCTACCACTTAAGCTATGCCCCAGTCCTTGACTTGTTTTAAAAGGACCACTCTGCTGGAAATATGGAAAAAATGCCAGAGTCAGTGGTGGTTACACAACACTGTGACTCCGGCTAATGCCAGTGAATATATACTTAAAAGTGGTAAATTTTGGCCTGGCACCAATAGCTCATGCCTGTAATCCTAACTAGTCAGAAGGCAGAAATCAGGAGGACTGTGGTTCAAAGTCAGCCTGGGTAAATAGTTCTGCAATACCCTGTCTCAAGAAAACCCATCACAGAAAAAGGGTGGAGTGGCTCAAGGTGTAGGCCCCAAGTTCAAACCCCAGTACCACAAAAAAAAGAAGAGTGATTTCACACCACATATATTTTGCCACAATAAAAATAATGTTAAAATGAAAGGAATCACTCCTGCTGTGTGTGCAGAACAGATGCTAGAAAGGCAGGAGTAGACATTAGACAGTAAATGCAACAGTGACATCAACAGGTGATGTAGGTCCTGGGCAAGTGCAGCAGCTGTGGAATTGGTTACAAGAGGGCCTACCTGGACCTGATTCAGAGGCAGAGATGTTGGGGCTTGCTGATGACATGTGCAATGTGGAGGCTCCAAAGATTGGCCCAAACCATTGAACTAATGGAGTTGCCACTTACTGAGATGAGGAAGTGCATGTTTGATCAGTGGAAATCAAGATTTGATTTTCAGGGATGGATGTGGTAGCTCATACCTATAATCCCAACTACTTAGGAGGAGGAAGGATCATGTCTTCAGGTCAGACTCAGCAAGAAGTTATTGAGACCCCATTTCAACCAAGAAACTAGGTGTGCTGATGCACATCTGTCATCCCAGCTACAAAGGAGATATATGTAGGAGGATCAAGGTCCAAGGTCAACTGGACAAAAAAGCACAAGACCCTATCTGACAAAAAAGCACAATAATTGAAGCAAAAAGGGTTGGGGTTGTGACTCAGGTAGTAGAGTGCAAGCATGAGACCCTGAATTCAAACCCCATACCACCAAAAGCGGGGGAAAAGATTTAATGTGCAGACATGTGAGGTTTGAGGTACTGCTAGTAAAGAGGTACAGATATGCAAGTGTTGTGGAGAGAAGTCAGTGCTGAGGACATACACATGGTATTTAAAACCATTGAGGCAGGGTGCTGGTGGGTCATGCCTGAAACCCTAAGTTTTTGGGAGGCTGAGATCAATCAGTAGAATCATGAATCAAGGCCTGCCCGGGCAAATGGTTCATGAGAACTCATCCCCAAAATAACCAGAGCAAAGTGGACTGGAGGTGCAGCTCAAGCAGTAGAGCACCTGCTTTGCAAGTGCAAAGGCCTGAGCTCAAACTCCAGTACTGCCAAAAAAACAACAAAAAAGCAAACTTATCCACAGCAGTGAGGGTATTGGCTCCAAAATTTCACTTTCTAGCTTCCCATTCAAGAATTCTTCCAGCTCCCCTCAACTCCAGAACCCAATCCTCACAACTCTCCCACTACCACAAGCAACAACCTATGGACCTCACCTGTCTTCTCTTCTGCACAAGTTTAAATTTCATGAACCAAAGGTATCACTCCCTTCCTGACATCTGCAAGGGTGCCTCACCCCTCTGTCCTACTCAGCTAGCTCAGCCCCACTCCCAATTGAGCCTAAGAGCTACCTTTGCACACCCAGAAGCCTAAGGTGTGACATTACTGGAAGGCAGCTGTAACCACACCTGTTGTGGTACCAGTGAGCCTCCCATGATTCCAAATCCCCAAAGCAGCTCTTGACGCCATCGGACAATCTTCTAATACAATTACTCCTCTGTGATCACTTTGATTTCCCAACACCTGTGATAATTATTTCAAACATTGTCCTCCCTCCTCAGCTTTCCATCTGTCTCAGCTGATGACTTTGCTTCATAATTCAGTGTACACCAGCTCCTTTTGTCCTCACACCACTACCAAGACACAAGAACCATTACTACCACCAAATTACAGATGGCTAAACTGAGATGGAGGGAGGAAATAACTTTGTCAGAATCCTTCATCACCTAAATACACGCCCAGGACTGAAGTCAGGTAATCTGACTCCAGAACTGGTGTTCCTCCCAATGCTCTCCACTTCATAGTTCAACGCAGGTGTCTAAGAGCCATTCCTCCATCGTGCACTGCCAACCCTGCACGTTTCCAAACACGGTCTGGAATTATGGACTCCTCTCCATCTCCACCTCCACCACCACAGGAATTGTTCTGCTCATACAGTCCTTACCCTCATTACCAGTCTTCCCCTCCATCCTACCTAGTCTTCCCTCACAGCAGTAAGTGAGCTTTTTAAAGTTTCAACCCCATTGAAACCCCTCCATGGGTTTTCATATGCTTAACCGTGGTCTAAGAACCTGTGCACTTGAGGCTGTCTTCTTCAGCCTGATGCCCCACGTCAGCCTCCTGGGAGTTACCCTTCCTGGAACAGGCCAAGTACACATCTCCTCCAGGCCTTGGCTCTTACCATTGCCTTGTATCAAAACTACCTTCCCTCAGGTCCCCTCATCGTGCAGCTCTGAATTCTCACGTTGCCTCTTCCCAGCCATTCTAACAGGGTTCCTCTATCAGAGTGCCATATTTGTTTCATGACACATATCACAATCTGAATTTGAGGGAAAACATGAACACAGAAATAGCAAACATGAAGCAAGTCCTGGTCTACCTGGGTTCAAACCTAACCCTACCACATGACTTCTGTGTGCCTCCATCTACTCACTTATGAAAAGTTCAATAAATAGCTCCTACTTAGTGCAGCTACTGTGATGTTACAACACTGTCTAGCACGTGCTAGGTGCTGTTTTAGTATTTGCTACAATTATGTGTACTGGAAGTGAGGACCATTCCCCCTTGAGCATGTCTATACTCCTCTAAAACTGTCAAATGAAGGACTATTTTTCCTCTTTATTGTTCCCTTTTCAAGAGTAAAAGATCTACCATTTCCAATGCTATGTTAATGTTTTTACTTTCAGATTACCAATTAATGTGCCTTCACGGTCTAGTTAGCATGCATTTATTTTATTCTGTTCACATTGTACAATTGTTATATAATCTACAAAAAGTACAAAAGCTTAGTCCATTTCCAATGCAAAGTCAGAGCCAACTGCAAAAATGAAGACACACACTAAGTTATGAGTTCATAAGCCATAGTGACTGTCATATGATGTATTTAAAGTTGTAAATATTGCCACAGGAGAATTTCTTGTCTTTGCAGCGACCACACAAGTCCTGTCGATGAGGCCTCCTTAGATCAATGTGTCTTTTCTTTTGAGGACAGGAACAACGAGACTTTGAACAGGTCTTTAGGAAACAAAGAATAATTTGGACAGTAAGTGATCAGGTTAGTGTTTCAAGAATAATCCTCAAATTAAAATATTTCTCCCCACTCAACTTATCCCTGATATGTTCATCTTCCTTGACTCCCATAAGAAGCCTATAGCCCCGAATTCAAACCCCAATCCCACCAAAGAAAAAAAAAAAGCAGCCCATGTCCAAGTTGCACAAAACCACTTGAATTCCATCAAATGCCATACCTTTTTCAAACTGAATGATCAGAGAAGATATTTGAAAAAATGTTGCCAAGACAACATAAAACTTAAAAGTTTTGTAGAGTGTTTCTCTGTGTAGTTTTGCATATTTGTAGCTAGGTGCGGGTGAGGGGCAGTGGGTGCATATTAAGTAATTTAATCATTTAAATGTGAACATTAAAAATACTAAACAAATAACTCAGCAGGGGTGATTTGACCCACAGGGGACATTTTGGCAATATGTTTGGAGATATTTGGGGTTGTTACAACTAGGAGGAAAGAGTATTTCAGATATCTTTTCAGATATGCCAATATTTGCTAAAATTTAAAGCAGTGCCTCTCAATTGTTATCCCATTCTGACTTTTGGCAGTACTGGGATTTGAACTCAGAGCCCCATGCATACTAGGCAGACACTCTACTACTTGAGCCACTCCTTCAGCCCTTGCTTGTGCTGGGTATTTTCGAGACAAGTTCTCAAAAACTATTTGCCCCTGCTGGCTTTGAATTACTATCCTTCTGATCTCTGCCTCCCAACTAGTTAGGATTGCAGGGATGAGCCACCAGTCCCTAGCAGAAAGAGTATTCCAAGAGGAAGTTAAATTCTTTTCTTTTCAGATATGCCCAATATTTGCTAAGATTTAAAGCAGTGCCTTTCAACCGTTATCCCATTCTGGTTTCTCCTGAGTAGCTAGGATGATAGGCGTGAGCCACTGGTGCCCAGTCCCATTCTGCTTTCTAATAATAAATTTTTAAAATTACATTCGATGGAGACTGTTATACTACCCTCTATCCTCCTGCTAATCTTTGACGTGGATAATCACTGCTGTAGGGTCTACGTATGTCTCAGTGATCACAGAAAAAGGCAAAACTTTCTTGTTTTGGCAGTACTAGAGTTTGAATTCAGGGCTTCTTGCTTGCTGGGTAGGTAACGCTACTACTAGAGCCACATCCCCAGGCCTTTTTGCTTTTAGTTACTTTTTGAATAAGGTATTGTCTTTGTGTCCAGGCCAGCTTGGACCTTGATCCTCTTATTCACACTTCACAGTTAGCTGGGATGACAGATGAGCCACCATGCCCAGCTTTTTTTATTGGTTAAAATTGGTTCTCAGTAACTTTTTGCCCAGGCTGACCTTGAACTATGATTCTCCTGATCTCTGCTTCATGAGTAGCTAGGAATGTAGGTATGAGCCACCGCACTCAGCTAGGATTTATCTTTTTAGGCTGTGAAAAATAGATATTTAATTTTCCAAAGAGCAGTCTTAAATATGAGTTATCAAACATTATTCAAGAATGCTCACATAACATCTTATTGCGGAGGGCATTGGTAGAAGCACAAATCAAGAAATACGCTCTGGAGCCAGATTACCCAACCTCAAATTCTGGGTGCAGTATTTAGGAGATGCGAGATTGTGGGAAAGTTACCTACTCCCTCCATCTCAGTTTACCTATCTGAAAAATGGCAGTAAGAATGGTTCCTATCTCTTAGGGGGGATGAGACAAAAGGAGCTGTTGCACAGTGTGTTTTGTGTTGCTATAACAAGATATCTGAGGCTTTACAAAACACCCCACTTTCTCATTGGAAGTGATTTCCTTATGAGAAAATCCTAATACATTGTGTACCATGTAGCACTATTCTACTAATACCTAATACTATTCTAAGTACTTTCAAAGGATTAATTCATTTAATTATTACAATTTCTTTTAGAGGAAGACAAGGCCAAGTAACTATGCTTAATATTTTCAAGGAAATAGATTAATACTCCCAGCAAAGATCCAGAGGGGTCTTTGTTTTTCTTTTTCAGGGTCTCCCTATGTAATCTAGAAGCTGGCCTCAAACTTGTGATACTGCCTCAGCCTCTTGAAGGAAGTTATTTTTTAAGTAAAACTTCTAGAACAGGAAAATACAGTAACTGAAATCAATAACTCAATGAATGGCTTAACAGCAAATTGGAAAGGACTAAGAAAATAGAAGTGGAAAATAGTTTAGTAGATGGCTGAAGCAAGGAGAGACCAAAGCATGGAAAACATAGAAAAACATAAGAAACAGAAAGAAATATAGTAAGAGGTCTTATATGAGTAGTTAGAAAAGAGACAGGGAGAATGGAAGAAGTAATTAAAGATAATGGCTGATAACTTTATAGAAGTGATGGAGATCTTCAAGCCACAGATTCTAGAGATATCCCACAGATACAAATAGGATAAATATAAAGAAATCACAACTAGCCACATTGTTATAAAACTGCTGAAAAGCAAAAGAGAAAAATATCTTAAAAGCAACAGATTTAAGCTGAGTGAGGTGGTTTGGGCCTGTAATACCAGCTTTCAGGAGGTGGAGGCAGGAGGATGGAGAGTTCAAGGCCAGATGCCTGGGCTATACATTGAGAACTTATTTTAAAAAGGAAAAAAAAAAAACAAGGATAAGTCATTGACAAATTAGTTTAAATATTTTACTAATTATAGAAAAAGTGGAAATATTTTTAAGTGAAAGACTTGGTTTTTTAAAAAAGTTTCTTGGGCTGGGTATGTAGCTCAGTGGTAGAGCACTTGCCTAGCAGGTATGGCCAAGAAAAATGTTCTTGATTACAATAATTAATTATGTCACACTCCTCTAAAAGCTTAATGACAGGTCTCCTTCAAGTGGTTTTAGATTTTTTTCACCCTAAACTTAATAGGAAGTATTAATAGGAATATCTCATCTTGTTCAGTAGCTTTCTAAATACTGGTGACACCATGAAATCCAATCACAGATTTAATATCAGTCTAACCTCAGGCAAGTGATCTTATCTTATTAAATCCAGCTTTCTGGTCTGTAAAATGGAGTAAGTCCTATCACAAAGGTTAAATCACAGGACATAATGCATGTAAAACACTTAGCCCAAACTTTGGACACATAGTAAAAACCTCATCATGGTTACTTTTCAAATTACTACATTCTAACTATACACATACGTCATATATAAACTCACCATATAAGGTGACTTAAAATAGTGATCTTCCACATCTTTACCTCCAAAAAGGCAAATTAGAGTTCATGCTTTCATTTCTTTTCTAAAGTATTTAATCATACAAATTCAAACACACAGAAAACTCAACACTCCTATGCCAATATCCAACTCTGCAAAATCTAACATTTTGCCACAGAAGCTTCAAGTTGATGAATAGAAACATTACAAGCATGATGAACACTTTCTGAGTACTTACCTGACAATGGATGGCTTCTACTCGATAAGGGTTAAAACTCTTTTGACATTTGCAACAGAGTTGTTTGAAATAAACCTAAAAGGAAATTTGTCTTTTTAATACAAACTGATATAGGCATATATCTCCTGGGCTCCCAGTTCTTAAATTAGGCAATCCATTCCCTGACCGTGTGCTTTGCTTCTATACAACTTCTACCCTTGAAGTTTAAAGCTCTGCTAGTGCTGTCAGTTACCTTTGCTTTCTCTATGAGACTGATTTCCCTTACCTGTAAAACTGGAATGATATTGGTTACGTTTTCTATAGTTTTGACAACTACCCAATAATGTATGTAAAGAATCATAATAGATATGCAAAGGAAAATAGCTCTTATGATAGTTTTATCCATGGTATGAGCCAAACCTTCTCCTTTTCTCCCAATCTACCAGCCATGATGTGTTGTATTTTCCAGTATTTCCCCACTGGAACTTAAAGACTTATGTTTACTATCGGTGCCATGTACTTTCTAGGCTTTGTGCACTTTCTTATGCACAAAGCACTCCCTTTGCTTGGTGAATTTCTCCTATTTATACTTTAAAGTCCTGTTTGGATATCATGATGCTGTGCCTTGAACAGGTTAATCACTCCGTCCTGTGTGATTTCTGTACCGCTTCCATGACACGAGTGTCACTGCATGTATGACCAAACTGTGGTTTTGTTCACATTACTCCTATCAGAATAAATTTCTATATGAGTTCAAAATCTTATTCTTTACATCCTAGTGCCTTGCAATGTCTGAACTAAACCCATTGTTTTTCTTTGGCAAGACATGGGAAATTATTTTCACTTGTTTTAAAAATCTATTCACAGCCAAACGTGGTGGCACATGCCTCTAATTCCAGCACCTGAGAAGTGGAGGCGGGAAGATCAAGAGTTTGAGGCCAGCCTCTGCTACATAAGACTATCTCAAAAAAAAAAAAAAAAAAGTTAATGAAATAAGTCTGAGTTGCAATAAACTCAGTCCCAGCCTACTGTTGATCAGAGCCCACAGTTTGTTCATGAAAATCTGAAAATGTAGAATAGAATGTGAAATCTTTCCTAATATTAATATGTCAACAAATAACTCAAGTTGGGGGTATTTACTCTTAGCCTAAGTGATCTTTTATAAATTAACCATTATAAGTCATTTCTCTTATTGCCCCACCTTGTGGACAAACAGTGGAAATTTCCTCAAGCTAAAACCAAAACCTGTTAAAAATCACAGCAAGTAAAACATGGCTACTCTACAGAAAGTCCTATTGCAGACAAGAGCAAAAGCTCATCAGAATAACCTGAAACTTTGTCTAACAGAGCTACCAAGCCTCATGCAACACCAGGATATGGCTTAGGAACTGAGGAGAACTGTGCCATTCAGATAAATTGGAGCGCTCACTAAGTACTTACCATTTGTCTGACAGGCAGGACACCAAGATGAATGAGACGGGATTATGACAACCATACTCCACTGGGAAACTAATTCTTCCTTCCTGTGGCATATGTGTCTACCCTGTCCTCCACTCACATCTCCCTCACTTTTCCTTACCTTATTAGTTCCAGAAATACACCACACATAAGCACTCTCCCATCGGGTTTCACAATCTTTACAGTGAAAATAGCCATATTTTGGTTCCAAAAACTGAAAATAAAGAGGAGAGGAGTCTTTTTACGAGCTTGAAAAAAAAAAAAAAGTCCAGATCTTTTCCTAATTGCTTTGCACAAGAAATAACAATTACATCCTTAACCTCACATCTATTTCATCTTTTTTTTTTTTTTTTTTTGGTGGTACTGGGGTGTGAACTCAGGGCCTCACGTTTGCTAGGCAAGCACACTACCACTTAAGCCACTCCACCAGTCCTATTTTCAATGCTACTACATGAATTTAGCTTCTCATTGGTCATAAGATTACTCTGGGATTCTTGCTTCTGTCACTCACTCATACTTCTTGAAACCATTTCCCACATTGCCACCAGCACAATCTTACAAAAAGAAAATCTGACATGATATTTCACAGACTTGAAGGTCTTTTTCTTCTCATTCCCAGTAGCATTGGTAACCAAACTTTTGATTTTCACAGACTTAAGTTAGTCTTATCACCCTATTTTATCAAAACTTTCAAGTCAAGTGAAGTGCATGTTTTCAGAACTCCCTCTCCCAAATAAAAGTAGGAAATGAGAGAAGACTTTAAGCTTATTGCCCCAGAAATGGAAAACAAGAAAGACAATAGGGCTGGTGGGGCGGCTAAGAAGAGGGAAGACAAAGTCCACCTGAAAGTTAGGTTTCCGGAGTGGATCCATGGCTGCATCTCCATGTATCTGCTTGCTCTTCCTTTCCTGAGGACCCGCAACACCTTCCTCTCCCTGCTTGTCATCTTCTGACTTTGGAGTTGGCCTTGACTGCTGGCTGGTCTCAGTAGGGCCAGAAGGCGCCTTGCTTACATCTTCCCCATCTGGCAGCCCTATCCGGCCCCTTGGGCCCATCACTGGTGAGTAGGCTCCCCGGGCTGTCCCAGGCTCCCCGGGGCCAGTCCTGTCCCGGGGTGATCGGCTGCGCAGAGTTCGAGGCCCCAGCGAGCACTGCACGGACTTGTCCACCCGCAGGCTCACCTGGACGCCCACCTCCCTGGTGTTGGCCCTGCAAAGCTGTACACTCAGGTTGGGGTTCATCTGCGCAAGAATGGCCTTGAGCTGAGCCCTCTTGTAAGGGTCCATGTAGTAGTCAGAGGCGTTCGCAGGCACCAGCAGCCCTGGCCTAGCCAGGAAAGTGGGGGGACCCATGTCCTGTCTCCAGTGGGGTTGTTTGTGTCCTGAGTGTCCAGGCTGGCCCAAAGGCAGCGTGTTTCCATAGCCCGGGTAGAAGCCACAGGGAACTCTGACCAAGCGCTCCATCAGCTGGCTCCCCAGGTGCTCAGGCTCAATGTCTTCCTGCAGTTTGCGTCCTTGTTTTGCCTCCCACCTCCATCTGCCCCTTCTTTCTCCTGGTCAGATGGGTTCACCTCCATTCCTGGCTTTATTTCAGAATCTAACAGGAGATGCTGCCTATTACCCTAATTGAGGGAAGGATGCTCTATGGACCCACAGAGCTCTAATTGCTACTTGCTTCCTAATTGCTTTTTCCACCTCTTCAATTCGAGGTTCCTGAACCTTTTTCCAAAGCTGTTTTTCATTTCTGACTTAGTCACTCAAGCTTTTAGGAGTAATTTCATTCATTTATTCCCCTAATGACCTTTATAGATCCTTTGCATACTACTGGTGGGAACGTAAGTTATTAGTACAGTTATTATGGAAATAGTACGGAGGTTCCCCAAAAACTTAAAAATACAACTACCACATGACCAGCTACCCCACTACTTTGTTGTGTACCCAAAGAAATCTTTTTTTTTTTTTTTTTTTGGTGGCACTGGGGTTTTGAACTCAGGGCCTCACGCTTGCTATGCAGTTGCTCTTACCACTTAAGCCACTCCACCAGCCCTAAAATCAGTTTCTTAATGAGACATCTGCACTCCATGTTCACAACAAACTATGGGAACAGCCTGTCTGTTGACAGATTAATGGATGAAGAAATTGTGATATATATGCGACTATCATTCAGCCTTTTGTGTGTGTGTGTTTGGTACTGGAATGTGAGCTCAGGGCCTCACAATGCTAGGCAAGCCTCCAGCACTTGAGCCATGCCCTATCACACAGCCCTTTAAAACAAAAAAAGGGAGTTGGATGTATAGCAAATGCCTGTAATTCCAGCACTCATGAGGATCATGAGTTCAAGGTCATCCTGGGCTACATAGCCTATCTCAATAAATAAATAAAGTGAGAGAGAGAGAGAGAGGATCCTGCTAGTTCACTAACATGGATGCACATGTAGGATTATTATGCTAAGAGAAATAAGCCAGACAGAAAGGGGAACTACTACAGGATGTAAGATCTAAAAAACTCAAATCCATAGATGGGAAAATGCTGATCATAGGGTAGAAAGTTGCAACTTTGTAGAATGAATAAATCTAGAGTTATTGTGTCACTGGTGACTGGTGAGGAGTTACGAAGTTTTGCTTTAAATTTAGTGACCCTCCACTCAGGGTTTTGTTTAGATCCTTAACTTCGATCATGGAACAAGTCACAATGGTAAGAAAGTTTGGCAGAACTTTATTGAGCAAGTAAGCAGAAAAGAAAGGCAGACTCTAATAGGTAGAGCACAGGTGCTCACAACAAGACCCGCTGAGCCATCTAGATATCAGGAGAGTTTATGATAAAAGGTAGGGTAGGAGCTTGGCCCTGATTTACCCTCTGATGAGTACCCCACTTTGTTCTGGACACCTGGTATATTCCATCATTCTTGCAGTCACACTACTATCAGTTGGGCCCAGAGATTTGCAAGGTTGGCCTGTTTATTAAATTTGGGGGCATAATGACATGGGTACCCAAGCATCTAAACAGAGGATGGGTGTTTTCAGATGCTCCTTTTAAGAGATAAATATTTTTATATAAAATTTTTATTAGGAAACATTCACTACACAGGGGGGATTTGCAATGACAACTCTGATCAGACTTACACTGTACACTATCCACAGTGCCCCCATCATTTCTCCCCACCAGCCCCTTCCCCACCCCACCCAAAGCAATTGCAAGAGGTTATTCAGCTCTACCTCATATAGGTATTTGAAATCCATTAACCATATACCATCCCCTTAATATCTTTCTTTCACCCTCCCCCCCCACACTGTGCCCATTTCTCAGTCCCGATTTTCATTATTAACATTCAAGTTGACGTTCAAAGGCGTGTCTCAATGCATGCCCTCCATGGGTGTGCCTCACTTTGGTCTGTTTAATCCCTTTGAATTCTTTCCCTTACTCCTTTACCTCCCTCCACCCATTTTTCCAGTTTTCCATACACATCCTATATCCTCTACATCTTATTGTATGCAATATTACTGATGCTCTATCATTCTCTTTTCCTTTCCCTGAGTTCTGTAGAGTAGTTCCACTGTTACAAACATGTTTTACATTTGAGTTGTATATGATCATGCTTGTTTTTGTATACATGTTTATCTTTGGCTCTGTCTTCCCTGTATGAGGGAAAACATGGGTCTTTTGTGTTTCTGATCCTGGCTAACTTCACTTAGCTTGATTTCCTCCAACTGCATCCGTTTACCTTCAACCCCATGTCATTATTCCTTGGGGCTGAGTAATACTTCATTGTGTATATGAATTGTGTACCACAATTTCATGATCCATTTCAGCAGTTGTAGGGCATCTGGGTTGTTTCCAGAGTTTGGGTATTGTGAATAGTGCTGCCATGAACATTGGTGTACAGCTGTCTGTCTTTACTGTATGCTATCTTACATTCTTTTGGGTAGATGTCCAGGAGTGGTATCACTGGATCACATGACAGTTCTATCTCTAGTTTTTTGAGGAATCTCCATATTGCTTTCCATAGTGATTGTACTAACTTGCATTCCCAGCAGGAGTGTATAAAGGTCCCTGTTTCGCCACATCCTCGCCAGCATTTATTGTGGTTATTATTGGCCTTGATTCTGGCCATTCTAATTGGGGTGGGATGAAATCTAAGTGTTGTTTTGATTTGCATCTCTTTTATAACCAGGGAAGTTGAACACTTCTTCATGTATTTACTGGCCATTTGTACTTCTTCCTTTGAGAATTCCCTGTTTAATTCATGTGCCCATTTCTTCACTGGGGTGTTGATTATTTGGGGGGGCGGTAAATATGTTTCTTTGCAAATATTTCTGAGATCAAATGAGTCATATTCCCAGATTGTTTTCCAGATTGTTTTATTTATTTATTTTGGTGGGACTGGGGTTTGAACTCAGAGCTTCATGTTTGCAAAGCAGTCACTCTATTGCTTGAGCCACCCCTCCAGTCCATTTTGCTCTGAGGTCTTGAGTACTATTTATTTGGCCTGGCCTCAAACCGTGATTCTCCTGATCTTAGTGTCATTCTCTTTTTTTTCCCCCTCCAGTGCCAGGGTTTGAACTTAGGCCTACTTGAGCCACTCCACCAGGACTTTTTTGTGATGGAATTTTTCAAGACAGGCTTGTGAACTATTTGCCTGGGCTGGCTTCCAACCTCGATCCTCCTGATGTCTGCCCCTTGAGTAGCTAGGATTACAGGTGTGAGCCACCAGAGCCTGGCTAGTAGTGTCACTCTTTAAGACATCCTTTGCTCAGTCCCAGAGCATGTAAATCATTTGGGCAAGCCAGCAAGTTCGGAGGAAGAGAGCTGCTCCCTTTCCCACTTTTTTCTTTTTTACTAAATGTTGCAACTCATTGAGTGGCCTAAGATTTAAAGCAAAGAAAACAGTGCCTGTAGTTTTTAATCAAGCTATTCATTAATACAGTGTTTAGTTCTGAATTCCTGGATACTGTTTCCCATGCCTCATTTTCCCTGATCTATCCTGCCTCAAATGTACAGCACAAAGCTATGGTTAATAATACTGCATTGTGTCATGGAAATTTCCTGAGAGTAGATTTCAGGTGCTCTCACAACACATGCCAAAAAGTTTACTATGTGAGGAGATGGATATGTTAATTTCTTGATTTGTACTCATCTTTCACTATTGTATATGTGTATCAAAACATCATGGCACCAGGCACTAGTGGCTTATACCTGTAATCCTAGCTACTCAGGAGGCAGAGATCGGGGGATCAAGGTTTGAAGCCAGCCCTGGCAAATGGTTTGTAAGACCCTATTTTGAAAAAACCCATCACAAAAAAGGGGTAGAATGCTCAAGGTGTAGGCCCTAAGGTCAAACCCCAGCACTGCAAAACAAACAAACAAACATTATGGCATACACATTATATACAATATTTATGAAAAAAATACTTAAAAATAAAGCATATAGTGAATTCATACAAGTAGCAAATTATTTGATTAGCCACATTAGAAGAGTATATGAAAGTGTACTATGCTAGATCTAATGAATATAAAGTGCCTAGTATCAAGACCAAGAAACATAGTTATAGGGGGCGTATATAATGAGAAAAAATATATTTCAGATGGTGATTCAAGATAACAAGGGTTCTCATAGGTCATTCCCAGTGAGAATTTTGGGGACTCTCTTAAGCCCCCAAAAGTGGAAAAAAGCAAACTGTTCTGATTTACAGGGCAAACTGTTCTGACTTATAGAGTAAGGACCACAAAGTATTAAAGTAAATATATGAAATCAAATGCACTTGAATTCAAATCTGGGCCTTGTTACCAGGCAAGTTACTTAATTACTAGATTCAGTTCTCATCTGACAATAATCCTATAATCAATTTATAGGATTGTTGTAAGAAATGTTTATGCTACTTAGGAGACAAAGATTGGGAGAATAACGGTTAGAGGCCAGCCTGGGCAAAAATTTATCAATACCTCTATCTCAACAAATAAGCTAAGTGTGGTAGCTCACTTCCCTAATGCCTGCTACTCTGGAGGCCATAGGTAGGAGGAAAAAATGCAAAATCCTATCTGAAAAATAACTAAAGAAAAAAAAAAATCAGTAAGTGGTAGCTACTATTCATCATTGGACTTGTGTTCCTTTGCTAATTAGATCTGGAAGATCAAAAGCTTCACATTAGCAAGGCCTCCTGCTACATAGTAAGGATTATTGATTATCAGAGAAAATGGCACCTAAAGAACAAAGTAGAAGCAGGCTGCAATTGGCTCACGCCTGTAATCCTAGCTACTAATGAGGCAGAAATCAAGAGGATCGCTGTCAGCGTGGGCAAATAAAATAGTTCCCCCTGACACTATCTCCAAAATACCCAACACAAAAAAGGCCTGGTGGAGTGGCTCAAGTGGTAGAGAACCCCATGGTGGCCCCGAGTTCTAACCCCAGTACCGCCAAAAAAAAAAAGTAGACCTCACTCCTAATCCGAGGTTGCTTTTGTTTACTACTCAAGCATCTTGTGGAAGAAAGGCCATAAGCAGCTCTCATGCTTCTGATGACTTTCTAAAGGTCTTACAACAAACGCAAATTAAGCCTTGTACTAGGCTTGTCACAGACCATGTGAATTCAGAGGCGAGGGCAAGTTCCTGTCTTCCAGGTCAGTTTTGGGGAAAGATAGGCACAAAACAGGATGCTGGATATCCTAAAAATGTATAAGATAGAACCCCAGCCTGCGGAGGGGAGGACCTAGCACTGCAGGAATGCTTTGAGGTGGGTCTGACAATTTGACAAGCAGGGAGGTCTTGGTGCTACCTGAGAAGTCCCCTTCCACGACTACGCAGTCAGGGTCACCCACAACCACCGACCGCTAGGGAAGGGGGTTTCTAAGATCGGCCTACTTTGGGGGACACCTGCTCTAAGAGCAGAACAAAAGCCTACCACACGCACACACGAGAGCTGAGAGGACAGCGCCTTCAAACAGGACGATCCAGAGCTCCGCAGAAGAGAGCGCGTCTCCAGCCCGCTTTTTATTTGGCCAGAGACTGACAGTTACGAACGCCCTTTTTGTTTCTGGGAGAAGCTGCAGCAGCGGCCTCAGCAACAACCCGCCAGACCTAACTTCCGGGCGGGGTGGGGAACGCATACGCTGCGTGCCGCGTCATGACGCCAGAGCGTCACGTGCTCAGCGCGGGCTTTTGGCGCGAGCTTTTGAGGAGGAGGCGGAGCTGCTGGGCTGGCGCGCCCTTTGGTCGTCTGTGGCTGTGTTTTGCCCGGGGAAGAAGAAGAACCCTGCGTGGTCATGTTTGGGATTTAGGTGGCGGCACAGGTCTTGTCAGCTGCTGAGGCCCCCAGAAGAACAGCGCCTGTGGAGCGGGTTAGTGGTGTCTGGGGTGGAAACGGGCGAGTCGTTGGCTGTCCCGGTTGTCTCAGGTCCCGGGTGGGAGCCCAGGAGCGTCCTATGTCGTGGTTGCTCCCTGCCGACCCCCTACCGCGCCCGAGAGAAAGGACTTGGTCCTGTGGGCAGATTTCCCCGTGCAAACTTGGGTCCCAACCCTTCCCTGCCCCTCCGTGTGCCGCCGCGGCCCGTGCCCTGCGCCCCTGGGCCCGCGAGCCGCCGGGACTCCGCCGCTGTCGCAGGAGTCCCGACCTGATTTACTTCTGGGCACACCGAATCTGCCTTACTTAACACCAGTCGCCTAATCTTGATGACATTCCCTATATTTCCCGATTGGGGACTCTGAGGGGGGTCTAACGGCGCAGCCACCAGCCGCGCGAACTTCGTAAACGTCATTAAAATAGGTGAAGTTAAAACCTTTGGAGTCTCACTGTCCCCTGTTCAGGTGCAGAGTTTGGCGAGTGGCTACTGGGTTGGACAGCACAATTCCAGAACACTCCCATTCTCGCAGGAAGTTCTGTTGTCGCCCCAAAAGATAGGGGAACAAGCTTACCTGTGCTTCTGATTTGATCTTTCACTTAAGCAATGTCACCTGTGAAATGCGTCTTGCTCTTCTCTTTTGCAGGCTTATTTACTACGCATTGCAGAAATATTGTAGAGGAAAATGTCTATTGGATCCAAAAGGAGGCCAACTTTTTTTGAAATTTTTCAGACGCGATGCAGCAAAGCAGGTATTGGCAGCTTTTATGTAGCTTGATAAATGACATTAAAAATATGTTTTCAGAAAAACAGATAAAGGTGAATGCTTGCTAAAAAAAGAACCCCATACTTCATGGTGTTCCTTAGGCTGTGAGTTTCTTATGGAGTTATAAATAAACTTAAGAACATACTCCTTCATCCGTTAACCACATCATAAATATAGAATCCTTAATGGTGGGAGTCTGGCCTCTGGATTAGCAGTAGAATGAATTATTTTCTTTAAGTACTACTATGTAAATCAGAAGCATTGATAATGCTACTCAGTGGTTGACCATGGCAAACCTTTTGGTTTCACTGATTCTTTCACATGTGAAAATGGTCAAGGATCCCCAAAGAGCTTTCCCTATTAGAAGTGAAAACAGCTTAATTGTTCTGCTTATTTATCCATTTATTTTTGTTCCTTTTTTTTTCTTTTTTTGAGACAGGGTCTTATTATGTAGCCCAGGCTGGCCTGGAACTTGCTATGAGCTCAGGCTGGGCTTTAGCTTTCCATCCTCCTGTCTTCCCTTCTTCCACCACACCAGACTTGTTCTAAATCTTTAAATGTCCAAAAATTTTAATATTTTTACCTTCTGCAAGCTCTAAAAATAATTTATGTATAGAATTACAGATTCAATATAAATTTCCCTCAGCATTTAAAAAAACCCTAAGAGCTCAAAAATTTATTAATCCACTTAAAAATAAACCTATTGCACATTACCATAAATAACACATTTTTGTGAAGCAAACTGTATTTCCCAAAACAAGTGCATTGTTTTACAGTTTTGCAGTTCACTTTAATGCCTGACTTACAGATAACTGGGTTCTCGATCTATGTCTGCATTTAGTCTGTTGAAGTTTATTATTTTGATACAAGTATGAAGAAAATCTAACTTCACACAGCTAGATTCTTAGAAACAGGAGAATTTTATTAGTTTTCAGTTATTTGGTATTTTCCTTTATTAGTCTTTCTTGTACTTTGAATAGGTCTTTTGAGGATTTAGTAGATATTTAATAGATTTTTCCATGTCGTAGAATCATGCCATAATTATTTGCATGATATTGGTGTTCTGAATTAGATATTTCAAATATTTACACATTGTATGAAAAAAACCTTATTCTTTAATATCACTAATGATTTTACAGAAACATCTTTTAAAATTGGGAAGAAGTCAGTCACCAGAAGCCACTGGAAACTGTAATTTTTATTTGAAAGCTCACATTTTGTCATTGTCAACAAATTTATTCCTGTAGTGAAAAGCTTCATTCATTTGTGAGAAAATGTCTATCAAACTATCCAAGTTGGAACACTTTGTGAGTCTTTTAGGTAAAAACGGCTTTTCAAAAAAAAAAAAAAATTTCTAGTTCAGTTCACAGCTTATCACAAGTGCTTTCTAGACAACTATTGTACTTCACTATGCAGAAGTACTTTATCCAAGCTCTTCTTTTCTCAAAGAATATTAAAAAGATGTGCTGAAGTAAAAAAAGGCTAGGTGCTGGTAGCTTACGCCTATAAAGCTAGCTACTTGGGAGGCTGAAATTTGGAGGATCATATTGCCAGCCTGGGCAAATAGTTCGCAAGACCCCATCTCCAGAATAACAGAGTAAAATGGACTGGAGGTGTGGCTCAAGCTTTGCAAACTGGGAGCACTTAACTTCAAACCCCAATCCCACCAAAAAAAAAAAAAAAAAGCTAAAAGATTAAGCTTGATAAAATTCATTTTCACTGCTTCATTAGGGCATTCTTAGGTTAAACTGGCATTCTTAATTTTTTCTTTTGGTGATAAGATACTGTGACTACTAGAAAGTGGTGCTACTTCCTCAAGTCATGGCAGAGTCCCAGCAATTTATTACCTACCATTAACTTTGCACCACTGGTACGGTTGTCAACATTGTAAAAAAGGCAAATGATGCCATAGTCTTGTCATGGAAGTAGTTTTTGGGGTTTTTTTTTCCCCCTTTGGGTACTGGGATTTGAACTCATGGCCTCGCATTTGCTAGGCAAGTTTTCTACCACTTGAGTTACACTCCCAGCCCCTTTTTTGCTTTAGGTATTTTTTGGTTAGTGTCTTGTATTTTTTTTTGCCCTATATATAGGTTGACCTTGGATCATGATCATCCTGCCTTTACCTCCTACATAGTTGGAGTTAGTGTGTACCACTATGAACAGCTTGTTGGTTGAAATAGGGGTCTTGTTAAACTTTTTACCCAGACTGATCTCTATCTCTGCCTCTTGAGAGGCTGGGATTATGGGCATGACCCACTGTGCCTGGCTGAATTGTGATTATTAGATTAAACATTTGCTGAGTGTGGTGGCACTCAGGAGGCTGAGGCAAAAGGACCTTGAGGATCACAAGTTTGAGGCTAGCCTAGGCTACATAGTGAACTCAAGACCAGCCTTAATTACTTAGTGAGACCCTATCTTAAAAACCAAACAAAATGAATAGGAATAAAACAAAAATAAATAAAAATAAAACAAAAGTAAATAAATATAAAACAAAATAAAAATAAAAACTAATATAGTTAAATGCTGTCTCATAACTTATGTGAACTTGTTATAACCTTCTTGCACATTTGTAAGAGAATGGATTAGTCATCTTGTATTGCTAATATTTGTTAACAAAAGTAATCCATAGTCAAAATTTCAGGTCCTTCCTTTGTTATGTTCTTTACAGGCTGTGAATTTTTCTGTAATTGATTAAACCCAAGATATAATTATTCTTTTTCTTACAGATTTGGGACCAGTAAGCCTAAATTGGTTTGAAGAACTTTCTTCAGAAGCTCCCCCCTATAATTCTGAACAGTCAGAAGAATCTGAATATAAAATTAACAGTTATGAACCAAGTCTATTTAAAACACCACAAAGGAAATCCTTTTATCAGTTGGCTTCAACTCCAATAATATTCAAAGAACGAGGTCAAACTCTGCCACTAGCTCAATCGCCTTTAAAAGAATTAGGTAAATATAGATTAGACTTGGGTAAGTAATATAATGTGGTAGACTGGAAGAAAATATGAACTATGAATTCAAAGATACCTGTGTTAAAAATCTCTGTTCTGTCCTTAACCTTGTTGTGTTGTGCAAATGAATCTTTGTGGCTTTACTTTCTTCAACTGAAGAGTGGAGGTGATGAAAATAATACTGATAGTTGTGGGTTAAATGAAATAATTTAGGTACTTAATATTCCCTTTCCTTCCTCCTTTGATTGTATCCTGCTAACTGAGAGTTGCAGAATTATACCTTATTTAAAACAAACTAGAGGACTGGGGGTGTGGCCCAAGTGTCAGAGTACTTGCCTAGCAAGCAAGAGACCCTGAGTTCAATCCCCCCAGTTAAAAAAAAAAGTGTAAATTGATTTGATGATGATTAATCTAAACTATATTTCTATAAGCTATAAAAGGATAGAGAAGATTCTTTTAATTGATTTGCCGTAATTGATTTTACTTTAGTGGTAGTTTCTGTGGCCTAGATGCCACGTGTTGCATGAGATGTAATGAGATTATGCATTCACTCATTGGAATATTTATTGCCTACTTGACATAATATGCTTTCCCTTTCTTTGGAGAGGTACTTTCCAGTAAGGGGAATAAATAGTATGCACATAAAATACAGCCGAAGGTTAGATATGGTGCTTGGTAAAAGAAATATAGCAAAAAATATAATGAGTTTTGAGAACAAAGAGAATAAAAAGTATTGGGGAACCTTGGGCTTCATGGCTTTTTATACATATTGTTACCTCTACCCACAACTGTCTTAACTTTTCTCTAGTGAATTTACATACTCAACTTACCTTATCTCAGCTTTACTTTATTTCTGCTTTTGGGAAATACTCACTGTCTGCACTCAGTGAGCTTCTAGTGAAGGAGACATACATAAGCATTTATGGTGTGATGCATGCTTTGAAAGAGGATATTTATGGTACTTGGAAGTATATATATAAACAGATATAAGTAATAGGCAAATCTTTTTTTTTTTTTTTTTGACGTTTTAGTGAGGATTTATTTAGTATAACAGGATAAAGTATAGACGGGAGTGGCAGGGGGAGAGAAACATTTCATGTTCTCCACACAGAAAATGGGAGCAAAGACTCCAGCAAATATTTTCTTATATGTCATTGGATACCAAGTGATAAATATATAATGAGTATTTGGTAAATATTTATACAATGAGTATTAATTTGACTTTAGAACGCCTAATAATCTGGCTGTAGTCTTTAGAGATAAGTTTTTCAAAATGGAATACCTAGACTGTTGGAATCCAATTGAATGCTAATTGAAAAGGAAGATTCTAGGTCCTACTCTGAATTTTTTGAATTAGAATCTCTGGAAATGAAACCCTACCTTTCAGACTACCTGGGTATTTCTTATAAAAAGATAAGACGAGATAGAAGATCAGTTAGGCAACATTGCTGGTTCAGATGAATTAGTACAGTATTCTCCCCCTTCCCCCATCTTTCTTGGTTTCACTTTTCTCAGTTTCAGTTTCCCAGTGTCAACTACAGTCTGAAAATATTAGATTGAAATTTCCAGAAATAAACAATTCATAAGTTTTAAATTGTGTATCATTCTGAGCAGCATTATGAAATCTTGTACCATTCTCTCTGAAATATGAATCATCCCTTTGTCTAGAGTATCCACACTGTATGTGCAACCTTCTCATTAGTCTCTGTCTCAGTTATCCAGTTGATTGTTGTGGTATAGCAGTGCTGTGTACAAGTAACCCTTACATAGTAAGGGTCTCATTGAATAGCCCACACTGCCTTTGAACTTGTGGAGATCTTCCTGTCTCTCTGGTGCTGGGGTCACAGACATGCACCACCATGCTTGGCTCACTACTGATCTTTTACTATATAATTTTTTGCCTTTTCCAGAATGTAGTGTATTTTACTTCCATATATGCAGGTAACAATGATTTTTAAAAAATACTTTTTTTTGTGATACTGGGTGTTGGATTCAGAGCCTCATACTTGGTAAGCAGGAACTCTACCACTTGAGCTATGTCCCCAGTCCTTTTTGCTTTCATTGTTTTTCAAATAGAGTGTGCGTTGGATAGGGTCTTGCATTTACTTACAGCTAGCTATTTACATAGCTGAAATATTTTCAGTATTAAAAATTTTAGTGCTGGAAATGTAGCTCAGTGGTAAAACCCTTGCCTAACATGCACAAGGCTCTGGGTTCGAGTCCCAGAACTGCAAAAAAATTTTAACCAGGTGCAGTGGCTCATATCTATAATCCTGTCCTATCTATCTGTCTATCAATCCATCCTACATATATATGTGTGTGTGTGTGTGTGTGTATATATATATATATACACACACACGTTAATGAAACGTTTATTAAATGCCTATTATGTGTATGTATCTGTCTATCAATCCATCCTACATATATAGGTGTGTGTATATATATATATATATATACACACACGTTAATGAAACGTTTATTAAATGCCTATTATGTGGAAAGCATGCTAAACTTTGGTGATAAAGTAATAAAAAACATACAAAGAGAAGGAATATACTCTGTTTGTGGTATTGGGGTTTGAACTCAGGGTCCTGTGTTTAGAAGGCAGACCCTCTACCATTTGAGCCATGCCTCCAATCTGGCTGGGGTGAGATGGAATCTTAGTATAGTTTTGATTTGCATTTCTTTTATGGCTAAGGATTTTAAGCATTTCTTCATGTGTTATTAGCTGTTTATATGTCTTGGAATTATCTTTAATTCATTTGCCTGTTTATTAATTGAATTATTCTTTTGCTATTTATTATTTTGAGCTCTTTATATATTCTGGATATTAACCTTTTATCTGTTGAATAGTGAAGATTTTCTCCCATTCTATGGGTTGTCTCGATTCTGGTAATCATTTCTTTTGATGTATGGAAACTTTTTAATTGTATGTGGTCCCATTTGTCAATTCTTGCTTATTCCTGGGCATTTGGAGTCCTATTCAGAAAATAATAATTACCTATGCTTGTATCTTCCAGAATTTTCCCTATTTTTTCCTATAGTATCAGAGTTTTAGGCCTTGTAATAAACTCTAATCCAGTTGGAGTTGATTTTGTACAGGATGAGAGATAGGGGTCTATTTTCAGTCTTCTACATGTGGATTACGGTTTTCTCAGCATCATTTTTTGAAGAGGCTGTCTTTTTCGCCAGTGTATGTTTTTGGCTCCTTAGTCAAAGGTCAGATGGCTGTCACTGTGTGGTTTTATTTCTGGGTCTTGTATTCTGTTCCATTGGTCTTTGTGTCTGTTTTTGTGCCAGTACTATGCTGTTTTTGTTATCAGGGCTCTATATTGTAATTTGAAGTCCAGTATTGTGATACCTCAAGGGTTGCTCTTTTTACTCAGGTTTACTTTTGCTGTTTGGGTTTTTTTATGCTTCTGTATGAATTTTAGGATTGATTAATGACCTTGAAATTTTGATGGGCTTATGCAATCTGTAGATTGCTTTTGGTAGCATGACCGTTTTTACCATATTAATTCTGCCAATCCTTGAAAATGAGAGGTTCTTCCATCTTCTGGTGGAAGAGGTATTTTCTAACTGGAAGCCTAAAATGATGTTCTAGATCAAGAGAAAGACAAAAGAGAAGCATCTTATACAGTCCTACAGGTAAAGAGAACATTCTTTCAAGATATTCATATGGTTGGGTACCACTAAAACTAGTGTGAAAGAATGACTTCGTAAAAATTAAGAAGTCAGGTCTTACCCCTGACATTTACTCCAGGGAAAAGGCCCAAGGAACACCTGGGAACCCCTGGCCCAGCCCATCTGGATGCAGGCTGCACACTTCCATAATGTCTCCCTGGGAATTTTTCTTCTGGTCATTTTGGAAATTTCCAGTCCAAGGTTGGACCTCCTGTGAAGATTTTGCCTGAGGCTCCTTCAAGCACAACACCAATGGAGCCCTCCCAAATGTTTAACCCAACCTTGATGGCAGAATCTTTTCAGATGGCCTACAAAGAAAATTCCCCAAGAGATTCAGGCTCTCATCCAGAAACCTTGATAAGGGACCTTCATAACTTGACCCTCAACCCTCCTCCCAGGTTCCCTTCCCCTCTCCCAGAAGGTTCAGCCCAAGTGCCAGACAGAAGCGAAAGGGTCCTACAGGAGACCAGAGGTGACACTCCCTATAAGCAGAGAGGAGTCCGGACCTTGTTATCTGCAAGGAGAGAACACCTGGCCAAGATGAGAGCTCTCCTGAGCAACAGATACTCCTGGGTTCGAAGACAAAAGCTAAGAGATGGGATTAAAGGAGTTCAGAGTGAACCATTCAGTGTGCCGTTCCAATGCACCTGCAGTTACTGCCTGTACCATAGCTGGGATCCTTCTGAGAATGCTAGACTAGGGAGTGATTATGACAGAGTAGAATCAATTTAGGCTTAAATCTTCTCTCTCTCTCTCTCTCTCTCTCTCTCTCTCTCTCTCGGTGGGACTTGGGAGTTTGAATTTAGGCATAAATTAAATATATCAGTTTTCCTGCTGGTAATTTAATGAGCATGTTGAAAGCTACATACCACTAATTTTGAATAACTGATGTATATGATATGACCTTGTTATCTTGTATCTTTTATTTTCACTCTCTCTATGATTAATATATAAGGGAATTGTGCAATTTGTATATGAATTACTTTAAAATACTTTAGTTCTACATTTTGATTTGAACCAAGAAGCACCAATAGGTCTCAAGTCTTTGTTTTAGAAGCCTAAAGTCTGTGAAATGAAATATAACCTGAAGGGGTATGAGGAGAACATGGGGTAGTCTGGTTAGAGTGTAATAATTTGGGTAGGTAACTATATTTTCTCATTTTCAAATATTCGGGTTGCCATAAAAGGAATTCTGATGTTATTTTAATTTTCAGTACCAAATAAATATGTATATAAAGGGAAAAAAATTAAGAAGTCATATTGTCAGGCTGGTGGTATAGCTTGGTGTAGAGTATATGCTTAGCATGTTTAAGGTCCTGGATTCAGTCCCCAGCACCAAAAAAACCACAAAAAAGTCAGATGAAAGACCTTGTTCTTTACAAAGCTTGATTGTGAAACTAAGGTCTTGAAAAATTTTCAGCAAAAAAGTGCTTTGGTTGGATTTGATACTTTGGTAGGTTTTCAATTAATGTTTTTTTTCCCCTGTTCTTACTCTCCATGATACCATAGTACAATATGAAGTTAATAGTAGAACATACCACTCTGTTTTGTATTCCACATGCGTACCTTTCAAAAAAAATTTCTCTTAGTAGATTACGAGCTTTTTGAGTTAAGCTATATTTTGACTTAGATTGCCCAGAGAGCCTTATGCATATCATATGCTTAATATGGCTGTCAAGTAGAAGGGCATTCCTTCTCAGGGGGAGTCAGCTCTCCATACATTCCACTTCCCAGTATAGATGAGAGCTTTTGTTTTTAAGTACTTCCAGAAAAATGACAATTCAAAATCCAGAGTGTATACATCTTCTGAATTATTTATTGTATTGTTTTAGGAAAGGATATTGCCAATCGTGAACATAGACATTGTCACACAATAAAGGCTAAAATAGATCAAGCAATTGATGTTACCAGCCCACCTCTAAATTCCTGTCTTAGTGAAAGGTATGGTAAAGCTATTATATTAACGTTAATGTATTTGAACAAACAATTTATTTGTTTTACGAAAATCTAATTTTTATCTGAATTATTTTGACTGAGTGCCTGGTAGAGGATCTTCTATTTTTACTTTTTGTTTTGTTTTGTTTTTTTAAGATCTTCTATTTTTAAATAATCTTTTAGGTTGAAGTCCTTCAATTGAATATTTTTTATGTTAGAAATAATTACTTTTTTTTTTTTTTTTTGGCAGTACTGGGGTTTGAACTCTGGGCTTTGTACTTGCTAAGCACATGCTCTACCACTTGAACCCTAGAAATTTTTACTTGATCTGAGTATGGTGGTGCATACCTACAGTCCTAGCACTCAGGAGGCTGAGGCAGGAGAATCTGCTAATGCAGACTGTGCTACCTAGCAGCACCCCATCTCAAAAAACAAAAAAGAAACACTTACTTGATTTTTCTTGTAATGTTGAATTGATGAGTTTTCTGTATATTCTGTGACTTTCTAAGTAACAAAAATATTAATGATAAAAGGCAATAAGTATTGAAATGTCAGTTTAAAATTAATGATTTGTATACTTTGACTCTTTGGAGAGAATTTGATGCTATTGTGGATTTACTTTATATAGTTTTAAAATTCAAAACATACAATTCCAGCAACTGAAATTTATGAGTACTTTATACATTGCTTCCAATGGGCATTTTAAATAGTACTGAATTTTAAATAGTTACTTAATTCATGATTTACTCTTTAAAAAGTAACAAAATATAAAAAGTGCTATAATTCTAGCAATTGAGTCTTTTTTAAAAAATAGGATTAGTGGTTTTTTTCTTTTTGCTACTGCTATTTTTTTTAATCTGACAGACTTGTTTTATTTTGTTTAGTCCTCTTACTCTACGATGTATACGTGTAACACCACAAAGAGAAAAACCAGGTATGATTAAAAACACAACTTAATTTTTAGAATCATAGAAATGTTAATAAAAATGAAATATACTAATTTTGTGTTTTTTCACCCCAGTGGTATTTGGAAGTTTATTTTATATACCGAAGCTTATGAAGGTAAATACTTTGCTTAGGTTATTTATAGTATATCTTCTGAGATTTGCTTTGTTTTGTTGTGTTTTCATTTTTTTCAGACAGAATCTCACTATGTAGCCCAGGCTGGCCTCAAACTCCCAATTCTCCTGACTCCACCTCCCTAATGCTAAGAAAATGGGTGTGCACCACCATGCCCGGCTCAATTGGGAATTTGACAGTGAGGGCTGGGACATGGCTTAAATGGTAGAGAGACTGCCTACCAAGTGTGAAGACCCGAGTTTAAACCCCAGTACCTCCAGAAAAAAAAAAAGGAAAATTTGACACTGAGAATTGTACCTTTACTTTGAGATTTAAAGATTTATACCTCCCATACTATCTCACATAGGCATTTAGTAAAGGGTGTTTCTATGAAATAAATGAACTATTTTCTTTCTTCCTAGGGTCAGACACCAAACATTTCTGAAAGTCTAGGAGTTGAGGTGGATCCTGATATGTCTTGGTCAAGTTCTTTAGCTACACCACCAACCCTTAGTACTACTGTGCTCATAGGTAATAATAGCAAATGTGTGTTGTATAAGAAAAGAGTACACGAGGCTGCTAAATTGTCATCTCTAATACTTCTGTTGAAAGGAAAGCATGAAAAGAAGATACTGTCTTTGATAAGTGTTTTGGCAGTTCAGAATAATTTTATTCTAGTTAGTGTAAAATGTAATAAGCACTTGTATTAAGTGGTATTTTATAGGAGTCAAACATATTTTAGCACTGTGTCATTAATGTATAATAACTTTATACATACTCATTTACTTAATCATATAAGCATTTAAGAGCTAAAATTTGGTGTAATGATGAATTTTTACAAATAATTTTGATACCTTGGGCATTAAAACAGTATTAAATAAACTTTGCTCCCTCTGTCTAAACCTGCTGTACCTATGTATACTGTCAGTGATACTAAATTGAGGTCTTTTTTTCTTTTCTTTCTCTTTTGGCAGTATTGGAGTTTGAACTCAGGGTCTTTGGCTTGCCAGGCAGGCCCTCTACCACTTGAAACATTTCTCCAGCCCTTTTTGTTTTAATTTTTCAAATAGTGTTTATGCCCAAGCCAGCCTGGATGGCTCTCTTCCTATTCCAGCTCTCACATAGCTGGAATGACAGGTGTACACCACTATTCTCAGTTTTTTATTGATTGAGATGGAGTTTCCTTAAGCTGTTTGTCCAAACTGTCCTGAAACTGTGATCCTCCCATTTTCTGCTTCCTGAGTAGCTAGAATTACAGATGTTAGCCCTGTACCTGGCATAAATTGAGGTCTTAAATTTTGCAGTTGTAATTACACATCTCTGTGATTATCTGAAATGTTTAATTTACCCGTCTATCAAATTTGTTAAGTTCTGTGTAGGCTCACCATAGTTTCTTGGCACATACTTGGTATTCAAAATATTTTTAAGAAATTAACATATATATATTTTAATGAGTATGTTTAAATATTACATTAGTACCCATTAGACATTTAGAATGTTGAATAAATGGGTCAGTGTATAAATTAATCTCATTAACTTTGTAGAATCTAGAAATATTTCCTCTTATAAAATAACTTAAAATCTCCAACTACCTGAGATTTGTGAATTGTGACTTAATATTTGAGAGGCTGTGACTATTCTCTTATAAGATTAAATAACATTATAAGTTTTTGAAAAGTATCAATTCTCTGTTTCATCAAAAAATAAATAAAATGTCATCTAAATAAACAAGATGAAAAGTTGGATAATGAGAAAAAATAAATATTTACCAACTGTATTTTTCTTTCATTTTTAGAAGTTACTGGGCTATATCATTGCTTCTCACGTTGCACAGCATGATCCAGAAATAGTAAATTAATTTTGTCAGTCACATATGTTCTTTCTGTATCTAAAATGAAATAAAAAGAAAGAGAAATAAGTGTGTCACACATAGTGTAGTTAGGATTGCCAGATTTAACAAATGAAAGTACAGTACATTTAGTTAAATTTAAATATCAAGTAAACAATGAATAATTTTTAGTGTTATTTTCATAGGCCTATACTTACAGTCAAGTATTACTCATTTTCTGAAATTCAAATTTAATTTGATATCTTGTATTTATCTAGCTTCCCTATATATAGGAAAGCTTGTCTTATAAAACTTTTGCTTATATATATATGCACATATATACACAGATATGTATAATATATATACACATGCATATATAATATATATATATACAAACACACATATATATGTATAAACTGTAGGCTGTACTCAAAGCATGAGTTTATACTCAAATCAGGATTTTTTTTATTCATTATAGCAAAATAGTATTTTCCTTTTAGCTGAGAGTGGTTTAATTTCTCTTGTTGCTTACATGAAATAATAAAGGTAAAAAGCATTTTGAAACCGAAGAAGTGTTTAACATTAAATATATCTTCAGGTTACATTGTGGTCTAAATGCTAAAGTACCTAAGCAACTTTTAAGTCATGACCTTACAGTTTCATCTGATTTGTAAGTCTTTGTGGACAGTATTATCATAAGTCAGGATCATCAAACTATAGTTTCTTACCACCTTTGGAGTGATTGTAAAGAAGTGAGTATTTGACTTATTCACTGTTATTCACTGTGTTCATTGGCCTTTTTAATTACTGTGCTTGAGGTAGTTAATTTTAGTTCCATTGTGTCACTTAATCAAACAGCATAGGTGTTTTTTGACTTAACTAAAAAAAAAAAATGTAAGTTTTTGCATTAGTTTTAGTGTATAAAATGTTATAAAGTACAGGTAAATTCAATTTTTGTTTTACAGCCAGAGATGAGGAGGCATGTGAAACTATATTTCCAAATGATACTACTGCTGTAAGTAAATATGTCAAGTTGACTATAATGTTGGAATTACTTATAATTTTAGAATGTTTTGATAATTATTTGACCTGCAATTTTGCTCTCAGTTTATGATTTACCTGTTCTTAACCTGATTCTATATGTAATTTCTTTGACTTCCTACAAAACTTTGTTCTGTTTAAGAGAAACTTGTACACACACACATACACACACAATGAAAATATTTATACTGGTGATTTTAAAAAATAATTTGTTTCAGATTTTGAAAGGCTGTTTTTCTAACCACAATGAAAATCTGAAGAAAAATGATAGATTTATCCCTTCTGTTACTGACAATGAAAACAAAAATCAACGAGAAACTTGCAGTCATGGTAAGTCTTCTTTTTAGTTGTACTACTATGGGTTTATGTTATTGTTGTTGTTGTTGTTTTCTATGGGGTTTGAACCCAGGGCCTCCTGCTTACTAGGCAGGCCTTCTATGACTCCTCCAGTCCTTGAATGACTGTTTTAAATTGACATCATTGATCCTCTTTTCTTCAAGAGAAAACAGTTGCTTTCTTTCTTTGCTACTGACAACCGGATAGTGAAGGTAGAAACTAACTTGATTTAGATGATAATATTTAAATGCCATTCATTTCAGCATTTGGTAAGCTGAAGCAGGAGGATCTACAAGTTTGAGGCCAGCCTGTACTATATAGTCAGACTGCCTGAAAAAGCAGACAAAAGGTACCAGTGGCTCACGCTTGTAAGCTACTTGGAAGGCTGAGACCATAAGAATTGCAGTTCGAGGCCAGTTAAAGCAAAAAGTTGGTGAGGCCCTATCTCAACCAATAGCTGGGTACATTAGTATGTGCTGTCATCCCAACCCACATGGGAGCTAAGATTGGGAGGATTGTGGTTCCAGGACAGTCAGGGCAAAAAGGTTTGCAACACCCCATCTCAATGGAAAAAAGTTGGACATGGTGGCACACACCTGTCATCCCAGTGGTGGTGGGAAGTTTAAAATAGGAGGATTTCAGTGCAGGTTGGCTTGGGCAAAAAGCTAGAGACTTTCTTCAAAATAACCAGAGCAAAAATGCTAGAGACATTGCTCAAGCAGTAGAACGCTTGCCTTGCAAGTGTAAAGCCCTGAGTTAAACTTCCAGTGCTACCAAAAATAAACGAAAAAATTTGTACATCATACTAAAACGGTACTATACACTATGTTGCAGCATAAAAACAAAATCTATTACCCAGAGTTCTCAGAGATAAATAAGACTTATAATTAATGAACTGTGAAGTCCTTTTTTTCCTGATTAGAAAGTAAATACAGTTGAAGATATATACAAATTATATGGTCAGATCATTGAGTTACTGCATTTTTCCTTTTTTTGGTGATACTAGTGTTTGAACTCAGGGTCTCAGTCTTGCTAGGCAGGTGCTCTACCACCTGAGCCATGCTCCAGCCCTTGCATTTTTCTTAGTTTGTGGAAATATCTATATAAATATATAGGTTGGATACCTGTGTGTCTGTGTGTGTATCATGTATGTGTATACATGCACATATAAAATCAGAGTTTACTCTCAGTTGTTTCAACACCACAAAATTGATTTGAAACTTCTTATTTTATAGTTCTTAGAATTTTTTTTGGGGGGGGTGGGTTTTTTGAGACATGGTCTTGCTATATAGCCCATGCTGGCATTGAACTTGCAATCCTTCTGCCTCAGTCTCCCTGGTATTGGGATTAAACACATTCATCACCATGCCTGGCTTTGTGTTCTTAGAATATTAAATTAAGTATATAGTAATTTTTAAAATGAACTTAAATTGTAGTGCCAATAAGGGATTTGAGTAGGAATAAAAAGGTTTGGGTATATTGGCATCAGGCCGTACAAGAAGAATAAAGTTAATTGCCCAAAAGAAAGCTAGCACTCAGAATAACTCTAAAATGCTAACTTATGTATTATTTAATATAAACTGTTTCTGAGAAAAGTTGTAAGAATTATATAGCTTACATAGTTATAAAATGTTATTGGTGACTCACACCTGAAATCCTAGCTACTCAGGAGACAGATCAGGAAGATCTTGATTCGAAGCCAGCCTGAGCAAATAGTTAACTAGACCCTATCTCAAAAAAAAAGTCACAAATAAGGGCTGGTGGAGTTGCTCAAGTTGTAGGCCCTGGGTTCAAACCCGTATCACAAAAAAAAAACCTTAATAATGAGCTTTTCTTTAAATTTTAACAGGATTGGGGGAAATGTTAGAGAATTCATTTGGTAAAGTAAATAGCTACAAAGACCACTTTGGAAAGTCAATGCCAACTGCCATGGAATGTGAAGTACATGAAACAATTGCAGATATTTCTGAAGAAGATAGTTTCTCATTATGTTTTTCTAAGTATAGAAAAGAAAATCCACAAAAGATAAGAATGGACAAGATTAGGAAAAAAATTTTTCGTGAAACAGGAACTGATGAATTCAGTGAAGAAGCTAATAAACAAGTTAAAGAAAATAAACATTCATTTGCATCTGAAATGGAACCGAATGATAGTGATCCTTTAAGAAATCAGAAGAAAATTGCTGAGGAAGTTATACCATCTTCAGACTGTGAATGGTCTCAACTAACCCTCTCAGGTTTGACTGGAACCCAGATAGAAAAAAATACCTCTACTACGTATTTCTTCTTGTGACCAAAATTATTCTGAAAAGGACTTAGTAGACACTGAAAAAGAATGTACCAACTCTATTACTTTAGAAAATTCTTTGCCACATATTTCTAGCCTGCCAAAGTCAGGAAAGACGTCAAATGAGGAAACACTGGTAGATGAGGGAGATGAAGGGCAGCATCATGAATCTAATGAAGACTCCGTTCTTGCACTGGAGCAGACAATATCTGGAACTTCTCAAGTAGCGTCTTCATTTCACAGTATCAAAAAGTTTCTATTCAGGATGAGGGAACCATCTGAAACTTCTGGTACAGTTTCCTTAGATCATGTGACTGATCCAAACTTGAAAGAAGAAACTGAAGCCTCTGAAAGTGGATTGGAAGTATATGCTGTTTCCTCACAGAAAGAGGATTCTTTATGCCCTACTTCAGCTGATAATGGAAGCTGGCCAGCCACTATCAAACATACTTCCGTAACTTCGAAGAATACAGGTTTAATATCCACTTTGAAAAAGAGAAGAAAAAAGTTTATTTATGCTATAAATGATGAAACATCTTCTCAAGGAAGAAAAATACAGAAAGACCAAAAATCAGAACCAACTAACCATTCAGCCCACTTTGAAACAAATGCTTTTGAAGCACCACTTACATTTATAAATGCAGATTCAGGTACCTCTTTTTTTTTTTTTTTCCAATTTTATACAAGGTGATAAAGTTCTCTTATTTGAATATGTGAATTTCTTTAATCTTTTAAATCTTAAAAAAATCCTGCTTTCCTTCAGTAGTGTTTTTTGGTCTCTATATCTTATATTCAGTCTTAGTAGCTATATGCCTGATTGTTGAGGCCTTTGAATCATGTCATTCAAACCTATTGGATTGGTTTCCTCAGTATAACTGTCACTTTTTTTTGTTATTGTTGGGACAGGGGTTTGAACTAAGGGGTTCACACTTGCTAGGACCACTTAAGCCATACCTCCAACCCCAAAGAATGATGATGGATCTTTTTTTTTTTCCCTTTTTTTGGTACTAGGGTTTGAATTTAGGGTCTTACACTTGCTAGGCAGGCACTCTATCACCTGGGCCACACCCCCAGCCCTTTTTTTTTGAGACAGGGCCATGCTGTGTTGCCCAAACTTAGTCTCAAACTTATGGGCTCAAGTGACCCTCCCACCTTAGTCGTCCGAATATTTGGGACTATGGTGTATGTACCACTCTGCCTGCTCCATCACTCTTGAGACAGATTTTTTTTTTTTTTGGTGTTACTGGGAGTTGAATTTAGGATCTCACCCTTGCTAGGCAGGTACTTTACCACTTGAGCCACTCTGGCAGCCCTTTTTTGTGTTGGGTATTTTTAAGGTAGGGTGTTGTGAACTATTTGCTTTGGGCTGGCTTCAAACTTGATCTCTGCCTCCTGAGTAGGTAGGATATCAGGCGTGAGCCACTGGTGTCCAACTATTTTTAGATAGTGTCTCACTTTATTCCCAGGCCACCTGGACTGTGATCCTCCCTTATAACTATGATGACAGGTGTGTGCCACCACACCCAGCTACTGGTTGAGATGGGGTCTTGTGAATATTTTGGTTGGGCTAGCTTCAAACTGTGATTCTCTGTCTCTGCTTCCCAAGTAGCTAGGGTTACAGGCTTGAGCCACTCTGCCTGGCTTGAGACAGTTTTTGATTCATAAATAGTAACAGCTTGGCTACTTAATTCTTGATTTAATTTTAAAAGTGTTTATTATATGCAGATTAGGCATCTATAAATATATGGTGCTGTTTAGTATGTATTTTCTGTAAAGCATACAAAAAATAGAGAAAAAGTTAATTACTAGTTAAATATAATGTAAACTAGTCCTAAATTATTGTTGTTACATAGTCTTCTTAAACATTTAGAGATTACATAGAGGTATTACTATATCTCTTGAGTCTGCAGTGTATACAATGAAACTTAGTTTTGTTTTAGTAATAATTTACTTAACTGTAGCTAAACTGTATGTTAAAGTGATTTTAATGCCAGTCACATTGGCATATACCTATTGTCCCAGCTACTGTGGAAGCTGAAGCAGGGGGATTGCTTGAGCTCAGGAGTTAAAGGCCAGCCTGGGCAATATAGGGAGAAACCCATTCCACCCTGAAAAAAGTGGATTTTTTTCTCCCTATGAGAGAATATTAATGAGTGCTAATGGCTTAGTGAGTAGGGTTGATGGTGCTAGAGTACAGACGAACTGTTTGAGGTTTGGTTTAAATTTTCAGAGAAAAATGTTTGATATAATATATCAGAGTTGAAACCAATTACATTAGTTACTTTTGTATCATTGTGACCAAAGTACCTGACAGACAACTTAAGGGAGGAATTACTTATTTTGGCTCGTAGTTTCAGAGGATTTAGTCCATGGTCACTTGGCTTCATATGCTTGAGCAGACATTATGACAGGAAGGGCATGTGTCAGGAGCTTCTTTACCTTATGGTAAACAGGAAGCAGAAAGAGGAACTATAGGAAGAGCCAGGCAAGGCATAGCCCCTAAAGCCATGCTCCCAGTGAGGCCTGCTTCCTCCTACCAGGCTTCACCTCCTAAAGTTTCTAAACCTACTGAAATAGTATCACCAGCTGGGGATCTGGGCTTTAATACTTGAGCCTGATGGGGACATTTTATATTCAAACCATAAAACCAATGAATCAGTAATATATAATATAGTAGTAACTCATTAAATACAATGAGATTAAGGACTTGGAAATTCAAAGGGTAGAGAAAATTAGCTGAATAGAATAACTTAAGTCATTTGCCGTTACAATTGAAAATTGGTCTTCTTTCAGGGTCTTTTTATAGAGACTTTTAAAATTTTCATTTGTTTTGTTTTTCTGTGTGCATGTGTGTCTGGATTTAAACTGAGGACTTTACTCTTGCTAGATAGACACTCTACTGCTTCAGTTATGCCCCCAGCCCTTACTTGGTTTTTCAATACAGAAGAATTAATTAAAGGAAATGGTTACTTTTCTTATTCCTCTAACTTACTTTCCTATATTCTATTAAACCATTATTAGCAATGAACTTTTTCTTTTTTTTCCTGGCAATGGGGTTTGAACTCAGTACCTCATGCTGGCTAAGCAGGCACTCCATCACTTGAGCCACTCCGCCAACCCTTTTTGTTTTGGGTGTTATGGAGATAGAGTCTCACGAACTGTTTGGCCAGTCTGGCCTTGAACTGTGATCCTCCTGATCAGTAGCTACTCCTGAGTAGTAGCTAGTATTACAGGCATGAGCCACCAGTGCCTGGCAGCAATGAATTTCTTCTAATTTTTTTTCCAGTACAAATTAAGATTTTTTGAAATTTGAGTTTTATTTGTAGTAGCTAGCTATTTCCTTAACCAGATACTATTTGTGTTGATGTGTGTGGTGTGTGTGTGTGTGTCACTGGGGGTTCAAACTCAGGGCCTTATCCTTGCTAGGCAGGCACTCTTACCTCTTGAGCCATTTCGCCAGCTGAACTAGATACTAATTTTGATTGTTGGTATATATTATTTAAAAAAAAAAATCCTAGGCCCCATTTATGTTTAGCTAGAAAATTAATGACTTTCACAATAGAGATTTATTTCGCATTCTGTTTCAAAATCTGGTTTCGCTTTTTGCTTTTCGTGTAATTCTTGTTTAAATACTAACTTTTTTAACTTAAAGTAAAAAAAATAGTTAATGTTTGATAGTACTTTAACTTTATTTTGTCACTTTGTATTCTTATGTTTAGGTTTATTGCATTCTTCTTCAAAAGAAACTGTTTAGCAAATGATGCGCTGAAGAACCAACTTTGTCCATAACCAACTCTTTTGGGACCATTCTGAGGAAATGTTCCAATAGTGAAAGTAGTTATGCTAATGTAATAATACCTCAGGATTTTAATTATGAAGATGCAAAAATTAATAAAGAAAAACTACAATCACTTATAACCGTAAAACTGATTTTCTGTCATGCCTACAGGAAAGACAATATGAAGATAATCCAAAAAGGCCCACAAGTCTCAGATGTAAAAGAAAAGATCTGTTGCATCATGTTGCTCTGAGCACAACATTTAAGTGGAGCATAGCAGTGTTCATTCTAATCACAAAAATCTTTTAGATGATCATGATAATACCAGGATTCTTATGTTATCTCCTAGCTCCAATATCCTCGTCAAATTCAGCTGTGATTTGTAGAGGAAAAGAATCATAAAAATGTCAAAGAAATTAAAATTTAAGAATGGCAAAGCTGGTGTTAAATTAACCAAAAACATTCCCTTGGAAAAAATTCAAGAAGTATGGTGTTTTAAATGAGAATTCTAAAAAAACTGAGCTTTTGCCACCTGAAAAACACATAACAGCAGCATCACCGTCAATGAAGTTGCAGTTCATGCCGAAATTCAAATCCAATAGCAATCCAAAAAGACCAAGAAGTAACTACTCTAATTTCAAAAATAGCTGAAGAACTTTTTCCAGACAATGAGAATCATTTTGTGTTTCAAACAACTAATGAAAAGGAATAATCCCGTTTTAGGAAATACTAAGGAATCTCATGAACCAGTCCTCAGTTGTGTAGAAGCTACATGCTAGTACACACGATGAACAAGAAGCTCAACTGTTGATTACAGACGATTTTTGACTCATCAGATGTAGTCCATGATCTTACAAAAGAGAACAGAAATAGTGTAAAGCAGAA